TATATATAAAAGTGATAAAAAGGTTCAGTGAGATTAAATATTGTGATAGAAATAGAATGACACACTGACCTATTTTACTTTATTAACAAATTTCTTCTTATTGCTGACATTTTACTGTATAGAATTTTTTTAATTTTTCTCATTTAAGTTATTGGCAGTCAAACAGGCTTTATGTTTGTTAGTCATAGTTTATTACATATTTTCCTCTGTGACTTTTCTATGTAATATCCATTAATATAAATAAAAACATCTACATAATACACATATTTTCAGCAAAGAGGGCTTTATCTGTAATAGTCAAAAGAAATGAACTCAATTTTTTTATGCTCTACTTGATTTCAATTGATTAGTCTAATGAAGATGGGCAACAATGAAGGAACTTTTGCCAGGACAGCGCCATTAACAAACTCTTTTTTGATTCCCAACTGTTGAGAGAATATTCTCGCCTCCCCCTCTTCCCCTCCATTACTGACAAGGGAAAACAGGTTGAAAAATCTGAAGCTGGGAAAGAACACTGTATCAAGTGTCTCATTTGAGGATGAACTTGAAATTATTCTTTATATACCTATACTGGAGTTAAAAAATAACCAGTGGTTAAATGATATGATAAAAGTATTGAAATTATGGCTATTAAAGTAAGCTGATAAATAGAATGTTGATCTAGAATTCTTCAGATGTTCATTCAATAACCTCTACCATCACATACCATATGTTAACTTCTTATTAATATTATATAAATAAAGTGTCTATTTCATATTTCCTATCTTCAATATGGCTCACCTCTTCATTTGATTGTCAAATGGTGGCCACATGAAATATTTTCTATTGGTCTAGAGTTTATACTATTGTTTATCTGGAGCCTTCTGAAAATACATACAGCACTAGCTTATAGATGTCAAGGTCACCGTTTTCATTTGGTTGCACCCATGCATAAAGCATGAAAATTAAGTAAATTCTCAACCCTGCTGTTCCTCAAACTGTACACTTCTTCAGATGATAAGTCACCTCTTAGCTTGTGCAATAATCCAATTGAAGGAAATCTGATTTCGGTTTAGCCCTTTAAGAGTTGATAACAATGTAATTAGTTTTTTGAGGTTTTATTTCTTATATGTGGTTGTACATTGTCATCGCCCCTGTCTATTCATCCGCCTGTCTGTCCACAATTGACAATAGAGGTTACAGTTTTTATCTGATATTAATGAAATTTTGTGTCATTATATTGATGACATCTTGTTCTACTTCAAATTTTTCAATTTTTGGTACGATTTGACACCGATTGGCAACTGTCATTGATAATACTGAAAATTTATCAGGGTAGTGGGCGTATCGTGCTAGGCAACCACTTGTTGAAAAGTGTTACAGGTAGCCTAAAGTAGCTCTTTTGTGTCAATATCCCTTCTACTTACATTTATACACAATATGATTGATCATGTGTCAAGAATACAGTATGAAGAATTAAATGTCAATAGCTTTCTGGTATTTCTGGACATTAAAATGGTCATTCTAGTAACCAGCTAACCTTTCAAAATCATTAATTCAATATTCTTACTCCGAAATCAGCAAAATGACCTTTCAAATAATTAAGATTTATGATATCACTTTGTCTATTAGAAAATCTAGCTATTGATTTATGTAGTATATTAAAGTGATGGTAGGAGAATTTCTAGATAAAGCTTGTGTATTTCTTTAAAGTTTTGGGACTGGAAGGCACGATGTTAGTGATATCATAATCTGTTAAAATTTTCCGGAACATTCTATATCCACAGTTGTGGACAAGAAATCATTTTATACCAAATATAAGCTGTCATGGTGTTATTAGTACATATATGTCATTTGAATCATGTTTAACAAGTCATACTTCAATTACGAATTCACTACATCAGTGATTTACCATATTATGGAAAAGAACAGATTTCACTACAGCACCAGGCTTATCTTCTTTGAACAAGATATTTTGATGGTTTTGTAATGAAAAAAGTTACATACTAAATATAGCTAAAATTAGAATGGAATTTCTGCTGTGTAGGTTTTGAGTTTGTATCATGTTCTCTTAATGTTTTAAATAAACATGCTAATTTGTTGTAATTGTCACAACAAGCAAGTACTATTGTACCAAAGCAGTTTAGATGGTGATACCAAACTGATACACAGTATGTACTATCATTGGTATTGAGAGCATTTTTGATCTAGTGCCAAATGACAAGCCAAATGTTATGACCTTATAGTTTCTTAAGTAGTAGTTTACATTTGGTTTTTTGTCCTATTGTTTAAGAATGCTGGTGTTAACTTTTATGTTATTCTGTGAATTTCCTTCTTTTTGATACATTATTACTCATGTTGCTAAATTGGGCTGTAATGCACCACCTTTATATTTATATAGTTCTTAGAAGTATTCTTTAGAAGTCTGATTATAGTGTCTGACTTGAACCAAGTTATTCTTATAACTTAATGTTGATATTCATACAGTAGAAAAACTTCATAGGGCATATTATGTTCTTAAGACAGAAGATAGAGTGTCTATTACAAATTACTGACAATAATATAGTTAAAGAGACAGAAGCACCATTTTGGGAGATTGATTTCAGTCTTGAATATATGTAAATATAAATATACGAAAATCGCATAATTCCTTCAAAAATATCTCAAACAAGGAATTTCTTTTCTCATAAAAATGGCATCTGTCTCTTTAATATACCAAAAAACAGTATTAGCTATTGGGATCAATCAATCACACTGGTTCAGAATAGTTATGAATAGAATGACAAAACAAAAGAAGAGAAAGTAGAGTTGAGTTTAAACCAATGGGCTCAATTACTCCAATTATATAATTACTTAATTGCTGTCAGCTATTTGTTTTGAATTATAATGAATTGGTGAACATAATAATGTAAATTGTTGAATCTAGTTTTTACAAGTGAAGTCAGTACGTCTTGAAATTGTAAAGTAAATTATGCATTATTAGTCTAATTACCATAAATGAAATTGAATGACATGTCATGTCATTTTACTGTATTCGTAGGTCGTCATACTTTTTTAATTTAATCATTGTCATTTACTGTGGTTTTATAAAAACAATGACTTCTTACACAGGTGCCCTTTTGATCTCCCTTTATTATCTTACTAATAGTAATATCATTTCCTGTGCTGTCACTGAATAAATTCTATCTGTTGGTTCATTTAATCTTTCCTTTATTGTAATTTATCCAAGAAATTTCTTATAGTATGTGGTTGAACCTTGAAAGCTTTATATTCATTTAAAGATTTGTCCAGGATTGTTCGGTGAAAAAGTTTTCAAATTAGGAACGTCATACTTAATACATTTTAAACCTGCAGAATTGAATCAACATGCCTTATGCACTCATGAAATAGTCATATAAATAAATATGATACTTTCTGATCACTCAAATTTCAAGTATTTTAGATGGGTCTAAATATCACTTCTAAAATAATGCTAAGGGTCTGAAGATTGTTTTTGATGTAAGTTTTTAACCTGTAATAAATTATTTAAAATATGAATTCACAAATATCAGTTATTTTTTGTAAACAATAAAATTTACAGACAGTTCTGGACCGCAGTATTAATCTCTCTCAAAAATGGCCTGCACTTAAACTGATCAATCTTAGGCCTACTGAAAGTTCAGATAGGCTACCAGTAACCATGCCACATTGAAAAGTAATTTCATTTGCATAATTTACCAACATTCCACATTATCACTGGCCATGCGACAACTGTGTGATGTGAATTTTTTGCGGATTATATTTAGATGAATTGAAATATAAAAATATATGAATATTATATATTACAATGTAAGCCTGCTTGTGGTTTGAGTTGCTGTTGACCACAGGGGCCAATTTACAGTCCATATTTATTATTTATTTTGATAACTATCTTAATATGAAATGTTTTGAATTTTCATAGAGCCTGTAATGAAGGACCCAACTACATTCAAAGACAAATGAAACATATTAAAAAAACTTCATTTTGCATTATTTGCAGATTACAATTGGAATAAAATAGCACTTTCTCAAAATTCAAATTGTGCAGATCGAATGCAAGTGATTAATTGTCTGAACAGAGGCATATGTAAACTTAAAAGTACAGCATTTGAAGGAATCTAGCAGACTACTTCAGCAAGAGTAAATCAGGATTCTCCTTGATTGTTCCAACTTTAAGACAGGATCTAAACATATAAGATAATAATCTAATCAGTGGTTGTAAATTTCCAATATGTATTTAGTGTGGTGTGTGTGTAGTTGTAATTGATAATGTCTAGATTGTCTGATTACCTGAATACAGCCATGTTGGCTAATTACTATAACTACTGGGTAATTAGTCTATATTGTATGTTAAGATATCTAATTTTAGATTAGTACTTTGTTTGTGTGTTATTAGGACATCTATTTTTAAGATTGATACTTTAACATATGTTAATAAGACATCTATTTATAATATAGGTATATGTTATTAGGACATCTGATAGGTACTTTAAGATGTGTTATTAGGACATCTGATAGGTACTTTAAGATGTGTTATTAGGACATCTGATAGGTACTTTAAGATGTGTTATTAGGACATCTGTTAGGTACTTTAAGATGTGTTATTAGGACATCTGATAGGTACTTTAAGATGTGTTATTAGGACATCTGATAGGTACTTTAAGATGTGTTATTAGGACATCTGATAGGTACTTTAAGATGTGTTATTAGGACATCTGATAGGTACTTTAAGATGTGTTATTAGGACATCTGTTAGGTACTTTAAGATGTGTTATTAGGACATCTGATAGGTACTTTAAGATGTGTTATTAGGACATCTGATAGGTACTTTAAGATGTGTTATTAGGACATATGATAGGTACTTTAAGATGTATTATTAGGACATCTGATAGGTACTTTAAGATGTGTTATTGGGACATATGATAGGTACTTTAAGATGTGTGATATTGGTACTTTAAAATATGTTATTAGGACAACATTAATTATAATTTGGTATTTTTCAGGTACCAAGTCATTCAAGTATTAGATTTAAAAAGACAATGATTAGAGTACGAGGGAAGAAAATGTCTCTGCAGAATTATGACAATAAAACAGATCTTGTTAGATGGGCTAAGCGAAAATATAAAGCAGTAACAACATATAGTGAAGTTGATGGTACCAATCTGATATTTCGAGTTGGAATAGGTAAGTACTATTCATATATGTTTTCCACATTTTTCATTATACTCCCACATTTCTTGAAGGCGCAATAGAGGCTACAGTTTTTATCCAATTTTGATGAAACTTGGTATGCATGTATATATTGATGAGATCTCGTTCATCAAGTTCGAAATTGGTATTAATCAGATAAGCATTTTCCGAGTTATTTCACTAAAGATTTTGTTATCATTTCTGACAGCTGGTAGTGGGCGTATGTTACCTTGCCTGGCAAGCTATCTTTAAGGATAATATTATACACTTATTTTAATTTTATTGTACTATTGTAGAAAAGGATGCTGGAAGTAAATGTGATTTGTCTCAGTTAGAAGAAAGTCAACATATATTAACCTCACATAAACTACATCAAACTATAACTGGTTGTACAACCCAGGGCAGAAAACATTATTTAACTAAGTAAGGCATTAGTACAATTACCATAATACATCTTGACAACATAAACTAGATATTCTTTTCCAATTGTCATGGTTTAATCCGAGCATATATTGGGATGATGCCATTGGATTGAAGAAGGACTGGCATAGGAAAAGGGTTTGGTTGTTCACAGTATACTTAACTTGAATTTTTAAGTAGCCATGGTGCATGGTGGTACCTTTTAGTGTAATTATCCAGCCTCACTTGAACTGTCTGTATGTAAGGATGGGCATGCATGAAAGCAAGGCATCTAGTTCTTCTCAAAATATTTGCAGTAGGATGTAAAACTCGTTTATTTCTATACAGTCTGCTAGATGATAATAGTGAACCACAATAGACCAAATAAAGATAAATATTAAAAGCCTATTATTTGTATGTTATTGTTTGGTTGTAAGGAAATTGTAATCTTTCTTTGATACATCAATAGATTTAACCGAGCTTTATATATAAAATACTATGAAATAATATCTGAAAAGGATAGAAGATAGACTAAAGCTTAATTAAATCAAATTATCTTTTAAGATATAAAGAACATACCATAATAGGGCATAGAATGCAATTTAGATGGTTTTAGATAGATGAAACGACAGGTTGTTTTTATTGTTATGACATCAATCGTGACATTGTGTTATAACTCCATAAAAAACTTTGACTGATTTCAAAGTTTAACGACCTCTGTTTATGTTGAATAGTTGCAAATAAAAATTACATGTTAATATTACAGTAAAACAGGTTTATAAACTGTTTTACATTAACATATCTTGTATGTCTACATTAGGTCATATTCTTTTACTGTTTTTTTTTACATGTAGTAAATATATTATTTAAAGGGGAAGTATGCACAATTTTCATTATCAAAAGCATTGTAAATTATGTTTTAAAATATATATAAATACGTTATTTACATCTTTCAAACTGAATTTGTTTTAAAAGGGTTAATTAAAAGCACTGGGTACTATTTGTCAATCATGCAGTTTGACCTAGTTTTGATAATAGGCTGCATAATGACTCAATATTAATAATTGAAACCTTTAGAATAAGCAGGAGGCATATTTCTCTACATTTAGGCATATATTTTGCTTAAATCAATATAATAGTTTTCTTACCAAAAACAAAACAATCTTAAAAAGTATCTGTAATCTTTTTAAATAGTTTAGGCATTATGGCTGCATTTCACATAACATTTCTCTTAATAATGGTGTATAGGTTTCACAAGTTTGATCAAAAATTAAGGCAGAATGCCCTTTAAGAACAGGGTTTCAGGTCTATAAACCATGAACTTAAATGTTAATTTGATATTCATCTTAGTTTTAATATGATTTAACATGTTAAATATTAATCATTGATGTTTTTTCCTATGATTTTATTAGAATAAAATAATTTGATAATTACTGAGATATGTAATACTTCAAGATGAGATTTTAATAGTCTTAATATATATGTTATAAATGTTCAGCAATTTGAATCTACTAAGAAATTATTTTTTATGCTTTTTCGGCCTAACCACAAAGAATCATCATGTGATCATATACTGCCTGGGTCATGACTTGTATATAGAAGTGTTTATATTTTAATTTCAGACCAGTTTTTATTATTGAATTAAAACATGCACCTCAATCTGATATACCTGAATCTATTGTGGACTTAGATATTACTTCCTTCAACAACGAACCTCTAAATAAAGATTTCTACCTCATTCTAAAATCACCTGCTAATATCAAGTGGAGAATACGAAGTTGGAAGATACAGGGTTCTATTAACATTGTGGTATGTAGCTCACTATTTTCAAAATAATTTAAGACTGTACATAGTGGCCAAGACTTTTAAAATATTCATTTGAAATAAGAAAATTAGGAATTATGGTTTGTCTTTGTGTGTTTACTGATGTTTTATGTACAGACTATCAGTTCCAATTAGGATCTACTATAAATTAAATCTTGAGATATCAGCCTCATTCATTCATTTAGATTTTATTTAGCCTGTGCTAATCCTATCAGATAAATTGACAGCAATCTTGTGTTGGTGGTATTCCAAGGGGTGCATGGAGAAAAAATAATGGACACATCTTATACAATGAGTTGATTTTCCAGCACAATAATGCACCTGTTTTACTATATATTACTTGAGAGTTTAATGGTTTTTTTACTTTTTTTAGACGGATGCTGAGTCAAATTTAAAGGGTATAAGAATGCAGACAGTAGCATCAAGACGAGAAGTCATGTCTAGTTCTGGAGAGAAATTGATACAGTGGGCTGAGAAATATATAGCTGCTGTGGAATCATATACTGCAATTGATGTGGCAAATAAAATCAAACTTCAGCTAGGTTCAGAGAGTAAGTGTTCTTACATTGATTTTACATTTTTTTTTGTTAAGAAATCATGTGTAAGAAATGAATTCTTTTTCAAAGGCACTGTGAGCATTGGATATTTGAAAAAATTATAAACTAAAAGTAGAGATAAAACTGAATGTTATTGTGAAAAGATTCATAAAACAAGGATTTTACTCCCTCTGTTAACATCTACTATGATCTAGGAAAGAAAACCAAATGAATGATTTTACAATGTTAACAAAAGCAGATAAATCTGTGTATAAAAAGAGAAAGAATTTGAATTTTTTTGTTATTTTGAAGATACTCCCCCTTTTTCAGTAATACAGCATTCCAAAAACCTAACAGCTTTCTCAGACTAGAAAATGGCATGATGGAAATGTCACATTCAGTCATCATTTTTTCTAATCTATAAGCATATCAATTTACTAATCTGGAATAATTTGTAACAGCTTGATGTTTAAGCATAAGAGGGATATGGTTGTCTGAATATGAACTTTCCATTTGATAAATTTCTACTTCAGCTATCTGTATCACTTTTAAAAATCAAATTTCAATATAAGGTTATTGACTCATGCATATGTTTAATAAAGATTTTATCATATGTTTTAGAAGATGTGAGAGGTGGTCCAATACAGCCTAAACCACCAACTAATGATGATGATTTACGTGATATAATACATACAGATTGTTCTCGTGGACAGTTTACAGTTATCTTTCCTAATTATCTCTTACAGGTAAACTATTTAAACAAAACACAAAATCAATCATTTCAGTGTCTTCTATACACTTAAAAAGTTTAGAAAACCTTTTGAAAATAGTAAGATTTAGGAAAGAATGAATGTCCTTCCACAATTCTACAATCATGAATGGGCCCAATTGGCAAATTTTCAAATGAGAATAAATACAGTTGAATTTTACCCCTTGAATGTTTTTCTAGGAATGGGCTTTGGTTAAAGAGCAGATAACTTTATTAGATCGAAGATGTACAGCCAAACAGAATTCAACACATATTATATTACAATCAAGTTTAAATGACTGTATGACTAAACATATACAAGTTGATGATAATTTAAGATACTCTAATGCTGTAAGTAGAATGGGTACTGTACTGTTATATTATTTAAACTCATATGATTCAATTGACATTAGCAAAGCGCTTATCATATGGATCAATTAAGCAACTACTATCAACTGCAAATTTTAGTAAAGGTTTTAAAAATTACAGTAATCTGATTGGACAACAAAACTCAATATACAATAAATTTTAGTGATTGACCAATCAGATGACTGGAAAACTAATAATAACATCTGCTTAAGTTAAGTTTTCGAGAATAAGGTCCCTGGTTGCTAGCAGTTGTTGAAAAAAAAGGTGCTCTCAGATTCTGGCAGTCACATGGTTGACCGGAGCCTTTTGAATTGATAACAGCAACGTGTTACTTATTCATCTTTCAGATTGTTATCCATGCAGCTGTAGACACAGATTCCTTTCTAGAAGATCTTGGTAGCGGCTATATAGAACCATCTGATATGTCTGGTGGTGGAAGTAATGCTAATACCTATATGGATGATGAAGATTTTACATCAAGGAAGGTAGAAATAGATGTGCAATGTGAACAGCCTAAGGTGGATATCAAAACTGAGGTAAGATTTAACTACGATATGGTTTCCTAAGGTAAGATGGTGTGTTCACAACGTCTAAAGGCAAAATGTGTGTGCACCATGTGCTTTCAGACTGAATATGTACACCATTTGCTCAAGGTATGATATGTATTCACCATGTACTCAAGGTTGGATGTGTATTCACCATGTACTCAAGGTATGATGTGTATTCACCATGTACTCAAGGTATGATGTGTATTCACCATGTACTCAAGGTTGGATGTGTGTGCACCATGTGCTAAAAACAGGATGTGCTACCAGATAAAGATGTATGAGGATTGTTAGAGTTTTGCCAACTAGGGAATATATACGACATTTTTTGTACTTATAGAAACCAGTAGTTATGATACCAGATACTAAGGGTTATAGATTAGAATTATATTCATCTGAATATTATAATGATGATATTACAACACCACCTATTGAAATCAAGAATAAACAACGTATTTATATTGAAGCTTCTATTGCCAGTGGTAAATATTAAAGCTCAAGAGTCTAGCTTTATTTTTTTTCCTGACACTCCTAATCAAGAGGAACAGTTTTCAGTAGAATGAAACCTTTGTAAAAAGATTTGTACTGATTTGGAGCATAAGAATAAAGCTACCCCAGATAACTTTTGAAAAATAAACTGTCATTTTTATGAAAACCCTTACTTACAAAATAGCTTGGATAAACATGCTGATTTTTTTTTTGGTTATATAGATATACCAGTAAAGGTACAGGTTGAAGATTGTTGGTTAAGTCCTAGTAAATTATCTGAGACAGACAATAAAATTGGTACTGAACAACATCAACTTATTACTCATGGGTGTGTTTCATTTACTTATATACATAGCTTTTACGTACCCTTACTTTGAGAGGTTTGGCATATAAATCAGTTAAAATTGAAAGTACCATTGTTCAATGAGTCACTGTAGAATGATATAAAAAATATTTTATTTTCTTTTTAAAAACAGGTGTGCTAAGGATCCAAATATTAAATGGCAAAATCTTAATGCTGGTGGACATGGTAAAAAGTTTGAACATCTAATGCCGTACAGTCGATTCAGTTTCCCTATTCGTGATCATTTTAATGGACAAGAGACCTACTTGTATTGTCAACTATCTCAATGTCAGATGCATTTCCTAGATTCTATCAACATACCAAAGGTAACTTGTTTTAGTTTTTTAAATTTAGTTATTTTACGAAAATTACAAAATACTTCCAATGTCTCATATTTTGCACAAAATATAACCATAATAATTATGACTAATTTTGAAAATGATGAATATTTGAGTTAAATTTGTGTTTCAGTGTCCATCTTCAAGAGGACAAGAAAAATGTAATAAGCATTTACCACCTGGTTTAAACACCCTCCCTATACATCAAACTGTCAATTATCAGTTATTATCAATTGGACCTATCTCTATTATAAATACTGATGATAGTGATAATAGTATATCAGGTAACTATCTCTATTATAAATACTGATGATACTGATGATAGTGATAATAGTATATGAGGTAACTATCTCTAATATTAATACTGATGATAGTGATAATAGTATATCAGGTAACTATCTCTATTATAAATACTGATGATACTGATGATAGTGATAATAGTATATGAGGTAACTATCTCTTAATATTAATACTGATGATAGTGATAATAGTATATCAGGTAACTATCTCTATTTTAAATACTGATGATACTGATGATAGTGATAATAGTATATCAGGTAACTATCTCTAATATTAATACTGATGATAGTGATAATAGTATATCAGGTAACTATCTCTAATATTAATACTGATGATAGTGATAATAGTATATCAGGTAACTATCTCTATTATAAATACTGATGATACTGATGATAGTGATAATAGTATATCAGGTAACTATCTCTAATATTAATACTGATGATAGTGATAATAGTATATCAGGTAACTATCTCTAATATTAATACTGATGATAGTGATAATAGTATATCAGGTAACTATCTCTATTATAAATACTGATGATACTGATGATAGTGATAATAGTATATCAGGTAACTATCTCTAATATTAATACTGATGATAGTGATAATAGTATATCAGGTAACTATCTCTATTATTAATACTGATGATAGTGATAATAGTATATCAGGTAACTATCTCTATTATTAATACTGATGATAGTGATAATAGTATATCAGGTAACTATCTCTAATATTAATACAGATGATAGTGATAATAGTATATCAGGTAACTATCTCTAATATTAATACTGATGATATTGATAATAGAATATCAGGTAACTATCTCTATTATTAATACTGATGATAGTGATAATATACCACTTTCACATAATTATGCCACATATCGAATTGTATGCCTACTGAGTTGTGGCCTACATCTGTCCCACCACAACAACTCATAGGGGGAGAGGAGTTAATCTTGTTGATTCATTACTCAAAATTCATCTGTTTAAATTCAATTTTTTTTCTCCTACTATAGTGATAAATAAATCCTAATTAAGACTTACAATTCACTCTGTTCAGACCCTTTAATGTAATAGACAAGTTAACATGTATTCTTATTTTCTTAGATGTTTGATATTAATCTGATTTATTTCATAGGTGATCAAACTGGGTCAGGTGTAGAAGACAATCAACAACCACATAGTGTCATTATTGAAGGTTTGGATTCAGCAACTGTGGTAGGAATTGCGTTTGCTGCTTTTGCTATTGGTATTTTATTAACAGGGACATTATGGTTTATCCATACACATACAGGTAGGGTGAGTTTCAAATTTTATCATCTTCATTGTTCATCATTCATCATCATCACTTTAATATCATCAACATGTCATTGTATACATGTATCTGTGAGTATTTTTTTGATTCCTAAAATAATTATTTGACATAGAAAAAATATTGTGCTCATCTTCCAAATTGTGGGTTTGAAGTGTAAACTGTTAATCAAAAATTTTGTCCAAAAAATGGAAAAAGCAAGAGTAAAAATAGCATAGAAGTGGACGCCTCCAAAGAAATGTGTCATCAAGTGTTTTGCAAAGAATAAGCGTGGTTTGCTTTATCACGGCACCTGCCACTGCTATATTACTCTAAATACTATATCCTATGATATTGTCTACAAATTCTCAATAATTGTCATGCATGCTATTGAAAACGAAAATGTTGCTAGTTTGTAATAATTAGTATTTGTTTTAAACTCGGTCACTGGATACTGTTACTGTTGAATTATTTGCATTTGGTGGATATGCCTGAAATGACTAATTAACAAGTATTTATGCAGTGAAATGTTTGTCAGTCGGTAAAAGTAACAGGTGTGATATATTGATTGAGTCATTTTAGAATATCAATGCAAATAGATATTTTTTTTTCTTTACAGGATCGTCAAAACATGTTCTAAGTTCTCATGGTTCAACAGAAACTACTGGAGAATTATCACCAAATACACAAGTACCAATATCTGCCTAGTTTACTCATTTTACCTCAACAAATCCTTATAAAGCTCACGTTTCCACAACGTGCAGCAATGCAATTATATTTCGGAGATACGGGTAGTTGTCTGCTGGTTTGTGAGAAACTGCTGAGAAACGAGGACAAACAGGCAGGCAAGACAGCATTAACAGACATAATATAAACTTTTTATACCCCATTCTAAACTTCTCTAAACAAATAGCAACGCAATTCTTACGCAGCATATAGTACCGTCTAATGAAATAACGGGTGCCATTTTTAAATACCAAATTCATGTGACAACAGACTACTATGACCCAGTTTTAACTCAGGAGTTTTCGATATTATATTTTGGGTACTTTTTCTACGTTGTCTGACAATGTTTATGTGTTGTTTAAAGTAAAAATAATAAAAACATGGTGAAATAAGAAAGAAAAGAAAGTGTTACGTTTGTGATATGAAGGCAGCGTTGTTACATTCTATAAGGATGTATAATAAGAAGTGAAGATAATACTGGTATGAGAAGCTAGCACCATGTTGTAACTATATCATGTTTTATATTGTGAACTAGAGAAGAGAAGGGTTAGTGTACCTCAAACTTGACATGGTGAATACCATAATGTACAGTGCAGATAGTGAAAATATCTGGGAACTGTTGTATTTTAAGTTTTTAATTCAGGGATTTTTATATGAGTTTGTCGTTGAACGAACGGGTGAATAAGACTACAGCTAAAATATTGAATTCAATACGAGGTTTATACCTCGTACTATTATTTGTGAAATTTTACCTCTTTTTTTAACAGATGATTGTTTTCTTAACATAACTTCGTGTTTTTTTTTCAGATTTCAATTTGTAGGGAATTAAGAGGAATCTATTTTTGTATTTTATGAAGAAAAATCATTTATAATTTACCTCAAAAAGAAAAACAGTACTATAGTGAATCTAGTTATGCTGACCTAATTTTCTCAGGGCCAGAACGAAAAAATGCTATTTTAGCAGGAAAATTAACCTCAACTTCTGTGTCATATAATTTATTATTTTGTAGCGAAGAAAACCTAGTAAAATACAAATATTTGTTTTATTGGATTTAATTTCAACTTTCAAAATAAGATGATTGAGTTAAATTGGTTATAAAAATAGGAACAAAATAACATGAATATCAATAGCAACTAAATTGAGGGCAGGTTCATTGTTTTCTATATCAATTATTTCTAAAGTGACCTTGAGTTCAACTACCAATTAAAAGCCATATTTTTGATTGCCGTTCAAATATCATCTCTTCATATGGCAAGCTTTCATTGGTCAAATCAAATTTATTTTGAAAATATGAAATAATGGCAGCTACCTGTATAAAATCATTTTTATATGCCACTTAATGTATAATTCACAAGATTTTGTTGCCTAATTTGATTGCTTTTGACAGCTTAAAAAGTAAAAGAATCTCTAGATAATGACATTTGTTATGAAAATTGATATTACCTGTTACGTAAGATCTGTCTAAATGTAGGGCATTACAATCTTTTTATAGTCATTATATTATTGATCTTTCTTTCAATACTGGTAGTATAGCTAGATATATATCATAGTGTCTAATTTCTTTCAAATCTATGTAAAAGCCTAAAATTAGAATTTCCTTAACACTCGCAATGACTAATGCTTTACAATTGAAAACTTTTATGATTCAAAATTTGATTTCAAGAATTCATATATATATTGATGATAAAAACATTGAAATTGTGAATAGAATTTAATTAGAAAACTTCAGTGCTGTGTTTAAAAATCTGACATGTAGAATTTGTCTTGGATTCCTTTTTTTGGTTTTACAGTTTAATGAAATATTTACAGCTAAATTATAAATTGATTATATTACTTCAAGCTCAAATAATTGTATGATAAAATGTTGTATACTGCATGTTATCTTAGAAGAATCTTTGTATATATTATAGGCTATAACATATGATTCAACATGAATTACTTTGAAACATTTCAATTGTTACAGTGTTAATTGTTGAATGTGGTATTTTATTATTAAGGCAAAGACCTGTGACAGATGAATTGTCTAATAATGTTCAATGTAAATGATACATGTCAAATCATATATTATAGCTGTATTCAAATGGGAGAACCATATATTTTGTTATCAGTGTGCAAAAATAGTGCTTTTGATGTGACCACTACTGACACTTCTTTGTTTTTTTTAACTCTTTTGATATTGTGGGCAAAAGCCTAGAAAAGTGTTTGCACTTTATATCATGATTATATTGTATTGGTTTAAAATTTTCACTCACAAAATACAAAGCAGAAGTTTGAAATACATTATATATATTGTTAACTCAGGTTGAAACAGAGTTTCCAGAAAAATCAAAACTAATCTGTGAGAAAGAAAAATTTGGATACATGACACATCCTAGATCTGTTTGGAAATGGTTTTTAAGGAAACCAGTAATTGCTAAGAGACAGTCCATGGCTGGTAGCTTTTTTCACCTGAAGGCATTGTGAACAGGTTTTCTTAACTTTTTATTTGATACAGAAAACATCCATTTGCACCATTCCAATATCTACTGTTTATGACATCACTATCATAAAAAACGTGAATAATTTATTTGTAGTCTTGTAATAGTGATGTCATTCTTAAGTAGTACTATAATTACAGGAACCACTGGCAAATGACTGAAAATAGCAAAAATGCAAATAGAAGCCATGGCCCCAGTAAACATAAAAAAGCTAGAGAACCTCTTTACAATCTCTTTAAGTTTGTGTGTTACAATTGGCATTGATGGTGAAATCTTGTAAACAACATAGAGTTTAAATTGTGGTTTATTACAGATCTAGTTGAGAGAAATGATTATCCAGTCAGAAAATGAATTGTTAGTTAAGACTTGATGTTACAATATTTATAATTGGTTTTTGAATGGAGAAGAATATATATGCCATGCTTATTTTTGTTTGTAAATAAGTTTTATTTAAAGGCTATGTTTTTATGATGATAACTTGATGTAATACAAGTTTATTTATTTCAAACATAATTTACCTCAGGCCTACACCCTTACCTCAAATCATATAACAAGGAATACAACATTTATTTTGTCTATTTATTCTCATTCAACCCTGTATTCTATTATATTGTATCTTTATACTCACATTAGACTGGACAAATGTATACTCATGTCATTGTGAAATGGGGTTCAGTTTTTTTGCGGAAAACTAACAGAATAATGATTCTTGTGAATTTGATTTTGAATCATATTTCCTTAAACCTGCCCCCTGTTTTTCAAAAAATATTATGATTAATATTTGTCTAAGGCTTGCCATTTCTCAACCAAATTCCATACTTATGTCGAAAATTGAACAAAGGAGTTTTTGAGAAATGGAAAGTTAGATCGTTAAATCAGTTTTAGAAAAAGAAATCTCCGAATGTTTAAATAGATGATACATATATGTATGTCAGTAATTCTGATTGGTCAGTAATCAGTGAAAAACCACAAACCAGACCAATGAGATAACAAAATTTTTTTCAAATATTATCTTCAATTTATAGATCCTATAACAGCAACAAGAATTTTATGTTTCGTTGTATTCCTGTCCTTGTATTCTGTCACATCTAAAACTCTTAAAAAATACTTCACTGATGTAAGAATTCAAATTGTTGAATCTCTGTGTTTAATGGAAATCAGTAATTGTGTTTGTTAGTCATTATGTTGTGAATATTTAGTAGAGAATCTTAAAAGTAAAATGCATTTAGTTTTTTTTTAATGAAAATATTCACCTTCCAGACTCATTGCAATGTATGTGGTAATGAAACACCATTTTAAGATTTGAGATAATTAAAAGGAATTTAAGGTATAATACCTAACTGACTTATTTTATAGCTGGTTGCTTTATCAGCTTTCCACAAACATAAGACAATTGATATAAGATTTGTGACTGAAATCTGCATTGGGATATATATTTGTGATTCCAAAAACTACAAAAAATAGAATTACATCAATGATCTTTCTCATTTAGAGTGAGAAACAAGCAAACCAAGTAATGAAAGTACAGTCAACTTTTAACTTTTCGATTAGACTATGTCTGAGGCATAATGTTTTTGTCAGGTGTATATATCCTTATTACTCAGGTATATTAACATATAATAGTTATTTCATATCAGGTACTCTCATTCTTTCTTCTTTCTTTCTCTCTCTCTCTCTCTCTCCATTCATTCATTTCATCTTTCTCTTTCTCATTGTGCCAAATTTCAACAAAAATCTTGACACATCATGTGCCATTGTCAGTGAAATTTTGTTATAAAATTTCAAAAATTAGTGCTAAGTAAAAGTATGAAATCTTATCAAGTGATAGGTGTAAGTAATTATGTATTTTTCAAGTAAAATGTTTTTTATTAAAATGTGAATCCCGGTTAAAAAGACACAAATATTGCATACTCATTCTTTATTTTTGATTACTTAGAATATTTGTGTTATGATAGAAATATTATAAAGTGTTAAAAGTATAGACATGTTGTTCAATGATATGAAAATGGCTTTGTGTCAGAATGGCAAAATATTTACTAAATTTATTAGTGTGAAATACATAAAAAAGAAGAAATTGAACCAATTTTGTTAGACTGTTACAACCACTCATTTCAATTGTTGACAAGAAAACTTACAAATTTGATTGTATATAAGGTAAATGTCATAAACAATGTTTAGTGTAAAAATTGTACAACATGATTTTCTTCTGGCTCTATTATAACATCATTCACTTTTAAAAGGTCAAAATTATTTCAGAAGTGAAATTCTTTAATTGTTTGAAATTATTTTTTGGAAAATAGTAATGTTTAAATGTTTTTGCACCAAGACAACAAACACCGCTAATGCACACTCTTTTTGGGCACCTTAATATTGATGTGAACACAATATCTGCAATTAAAGGCAGCATCCAAACAGTGAATTATGATTGTCAGAAGAATTTGATGTGAATATCATCTGTTGTGACCATTTCAATGTTTTTTATTCTATCATCTTATTATTAGAACAATCATGTATTATTATTGTCATTGTACATTTAATATTATAACAAACTGAAATAAAAACATGTTGTGTGACAAGATCCTCTCTTTACATTTACTGTATATTTGCGTGTATATAGCGCAGGTTTTCACACTTACCAAACTGGGCCAATTCAATAGATAACAGTATTAACAAGGAAATCAACAGATCGCAGCATAGGCTATATAGGCAATAGGTTGCAATAGTAGAGGCCCTCTCAATAAAGGTTGAAGTGACAGAAACACAATATGACAACTATATATTGCCATATTTTGAACTAAAACTGAGGGTGAATAATGCTTGCTTGTTTCGGTTGTGAATGGCCTCCAAATATGTACTTCCGTATTTTGGTTCTAATTTGGTATTAGCATTGCACATAATTTAAAGACAAAACAGAAATAACAATTTTAATGCAACATACAGTAGACCAATTTCGCCAAACAAAACAAGCTGAAATGGTTAATTTATCAATCTAACTTTCAAGTATTGTAGGTGTTTCTCTTGGACTGAGGAAACAGTAGCGTCTACTACCAATGCTTGGTAACTTACTTTTATCCATAATTTTTTGAATGGGAGACTCAATAGTGCCATGTCTCGGGGTATCGCTTGGTGACAGGGGTGTTAGTGGTCGATGGATTGGAGTTGAGAAATTATTTGTATCAAACGGTGCTCTTGGTGTTCGAGGAGACTGAACTGGGAGATCTCTAGGAGATGTGTGTGGACTGTTATCAGTGTGAGGCATATAGAGTTCACTTTTCTTTCTTTGCAAATACACTGGAGTTGCAGAGACCCGTATTGGAGTTGCAGAATCTCTAGGAGAATTAACGTAAGTATTGAACCTTGATCTCAACAAAACTCCATTAAAATTTGATGTATCTTCTCGTGGAGTCATTAAAGCACCATTTACTATTTGGGTTTGAATTCTACCTTCACTTAATAGTCTTATCAATGAGGCATTATTCTTAACAGTCATCATATCAGCTCTACCTTCATTGACAAGTGCAGAACAACAGTCAGCTAATCTTAGCTTCACTGCCAAATCTAAAGCTGTAAGATTCTGTCTATTACGCATATTTACATCAACTTTAGCTCTTGTATTTGAGTGACCCGCAATTATTTTGATAGCTGTACTGTTTCCTGCTATCACAGCATGCATGATAGCAGAGTAACCCTCATTGTCAACTAAGTTTGGATCACATTGGTCACATCGCACTAACAATCTGACACTTTCAGCCTTCTCTTCTTCCATACAGGCATACATCAAGGCAGTTCTTCCATCACCATCCTTCGCATTGACATCACACCCATGGCGGATCAATAGCCGAACACAATGGGCACGTATTTCATCTCTATTACTGAAGACAGCTTGAATCAGTGGAGTTCTCTGTGCAGAGTCTCTACAATCTACATTTGAAAGACTTGATAAAATGGAACTCAATCTGTGAACCTTGCCATAAGCTATTGCCAGGAACAAGTGCCTGGCATCGTCGCGGTCTGTCATCTTTTTAGCTTTTCATATGTCTACCATTTTCTGGAAAATGTAATGTTGAATAGAGCATTATGAAGCATATTGCAGGCTTGTAAAGTGATACTGTATCAATCAAAGTACATGGTTTAAACAAATGCAGTGAGCAACTATTAGGCTTAAAGAGAATTGTGAATTTCAAGTATTGGCAAAAGTCTAAAAAAAACAAGTTTACGGGTATCAAGTGTCAGACGCTTTTTCAACTGAAACTTCTAGAGCTTTTTTTTTGGTCTCCTTTGAACACATTGGATACTGTCTACACATGTGATCACTAAAATCGCAAGCTGTGGGTTATGCCAAATTCTATAATTGAGGGGCTTTATCGAGCAAAATTGAAACAAACACAATTGCACACAAAAATAAGAATATTGTCTGTGGACTCCAAGGCTTTAAGAGAAATCAAAGAAGCTTTATACCTGATGGTTAAATCCATGATGTGATCACAGGTGACATACACTTTCAGTGGTTATAATCAAAATACTTCTATCTGGACACATATGACAAAATAATTTCTTAATACTACTAGATATATAACTGTTGCCATATATACAGATTAAGATTAAGGTGGATTATGATTGTTAATCTTATTACAAGCATGAGTTATACAGGGTTGTTAACTTCTTAATGCCCTCATTATATTGTTTATAACTGATTTATTTTAATGGCCTATAATAATGTACAGGAAAATTTGGTTTGTCAATGATGATTTAATAACATAATTGCGGCTCTGTGCAAATTTGTGAAGAAGCTTTTGAAAATAGAGTTTGGATGAATTTGCATGATGCATTTGACATTCATAAGGTACAAGTACAGTAGGGTCAGCTATCAGTAACCTTGCAAGAAATCCATGAAGGATTCAACATGCCTATATTTCTACATATTGCCTACCAGTTTCACCTAAACAGTTATGTTCATTTATATTTCCTGGGTTTTTAAAACTTTTTATGTGTATCAAACACAGATATCAAATTGTGAACCATTCCAATTTTCAGTCTTTTGACTGGGATTCTAGCAATTTACATGTTTTTAGCTCACTATCTATAGATGCTATTTATATATTTGGACTTTTGCTATAGTGACGTCATAAAACGCTTAGTCTTATTTAAATTGCAAGAATCTCAAATTTTAGAAATTCACTTTACAATCCCTTTAATTTTTATATATTTCCCTTGTTTTGAATAAAGACAGAATGAAAACATGTTTTAAACAATATCACAGTTCTTGTATTTGTACATGAGAAAATGAAATAATTTAGAAATACATTAAATAAATACATAATGATATATGAATATTCAATTATACCTGAGTAGTTTCTCATATCTACAAAATTAATCATATTACATAATATAGTTTAATTACAAACAGATATTATCCTAGCACACAAATGACTAGTTTTAAATACATAAAATTTATTTCTTCCATATTTTATATAATCTATACATGTGTATATATATCATTCAACATTTCTTCTTCAAGGGAATAGTCTGGCTCAGAACATGGGGGATCATTTACTAAAATTGTGACTTTGGAATTTTCATTGCTATCTGCACTTATATCTAGCTAAATACATAAATAAATTATGAATCAAAATTTAGCATTAACTGTAACAAGCTAAGTTATATGAAGCCAGTTTTTCATTTATATAAAAATTGGCATCTAAGATAGAACTAGTTGAAAAAACTTCACAAAAAATTGTTTGTAAAATTGGAAGGATAAGATAAATGCACTGTAATGTTACTACTACGTCACTTTACTTTATAGTCCAGCTAAAATAAATATGCAGATCCAGGTCCAATTCTATTTGTAGGTACCCTAGTTTGAGTACAAAGTAGTTTAAGCACAACGTAAGTTTAGACTGTAGAGTTATTATTCTACCTTGAGATATGGATTACTTGTGTTTGTTTTGAATGGGACCTAGATGAGCAGAAATATTTCTACTGAACTATACCAGAAAAATACATATCATTAGCAATATACAGCCCAGAATAAATATGTTAATATGTTTCATAAATATTGGATTATGTTAGAAATCTTCATCATCCCAATCTACATCATTCAACATGAGATCATTCACAGATTCTTTATTATCACTTGTACTTGTATTATCACCTTCATAAATAAATGTCTGAGTTCTAGGTTTGATAGGTTTTTGTGTTTTAATTTTTGGTTTTGGTCCAGTAAAACCTTTTCTTACTTTCTTAAAACCATTTTTAGCAATATCTGATATCAGTTCATTACTATCATTCATTTCATGTTTAATCCCTTTAGGTTCATAAGTAGGCTCAAGATCTAAAGCATTACAACTGTCTACTGACTTAGTTGCTACTTTGTCTTCTGCCACAATTTTTAATGATTTAGATTTTACAGGATCCTCATCACTTGAGCTACTTTCAGAAAGATCCACTTCATCTTTAAACTTTCGGATTTTAACTGGAGCTTTACGCTTTGTTTTTTGGCCTGGTTTCCTTTTGCTTTTCTCTTTTGGATGAATCTGAGTTTTGCTTGATTTAGACACAGTTGTATCTGGTTTGTCTTTCGTGACCTTAGACTTAGTTTCTCTTGGTTTTCGTGGTTTCTTAACCTCTTCAGCAGGTTGTATAATATCTATTTCATCATCTTTATTAGTTTCTGGTTTAGAGTTAATTTTACCTAAAACTTGTCGAATTCTCTGACTTTTAATCCTGGCAGGATTTACGAAATTTTCTGGTTGAAAAAATCCATTGATTTTAGTCTGTGTCTGAAAATATATGGATATTTGGCATCAAATACAATCCCTAAAGGTTCAAAGATAGAACATTAGTATTGACTACTGTCATCAAGTTGATTATTTGACAATCTTTATCGAGTGGCCATTTAAATGTTTGTGTACCAACTAGTGCTCAATTTCAGCTTGCATTATCATTTTCTACAATTTAACAATTCAACATAGAGGATTTAACTTTTTCATGTAAATATAGATACACAAGTGACACATGTCGAATGAAGCCTTGAAAAAAGATGATAAAATAAAAATATAATTATAACATCCAGTGCGTAAATGATGAGAGACTTAATTTTCATATTTTCATATATTATAGAATTGCAGGACTGGGTTTAACCACAATATTGTGCTCAATTTATAAATAAATATAAATAAGTGATGTTACCCTGGTTTCAGCCAACTGTTTTAACAATGGCTTTATCAATTCATCAACTTTCTCTTTAGTCCAACCCAATTTCTTCTTACCAAATCTTACAATTAGTTATAGATTAATAGATATATTGATAAGAACTAAGATTCAAGATTTTCCTTATTCATAATATAAATATTTCCTGTATACATTCCTAAAAAACACTGTTTCTTAAATCTTAAATATGATAACATGAATTAGACCAAACAGACATCCTTTTAATTATGATTTATTGATATGATGTATTTTCAACTAAACTATTATTTCCACTAAAGATATTCTGATTAAAAAGGATACTCTCGAAGTAAATCTAAATCTGGCGTTCCCCAAGAAAAGGGTTCTAATGAATCATCAATTGTTGGTTTAAAATATGCCTCAACCACTGCTTCACTTGGGAACCCTGAAATATATAAACATTTCATATAAAAACAAAATTTACAGATCCATGTAATATTTTTCTTTATATACATGTAAAACATAATCAAACCTTATTTTGTACAATAATGTCTCATATAACTTGGGTAAATGTATAAGCCTTGCCTGAAGGTTCCAAAATAACAATATTGAACCTGTTTGAATAAAACTATCTTTAAGGGAATTTAAAAGATTTTCTAAACTTTAAGAGCTGCTAATAATAAAAGCCTTTGTGATAAGGTTAAGCATAGAAATACATAATTATTTTTTTAGAAAACCTGTTTACAATTCATTTAAATACCAAACACTATCTATATATTTATAGCTGTGTATTAAACTAATACTAATAAAATAAAACATACCAGGTATAACTTGTAAAGATCGTAATTTATTACGTAGTTTATTTTCTGGTATTTTTCTTATTTGTTTCTGTGTTGCTTCCCACCAAGTTCTGCAACATTAATCAATTTATTTGATTACACAACACACCATCAAGGCCAGAAATCAATCAAATCTGTCTACTTAATATTATTTTATATATACTTATATCTATCATTTCATGTTATTTCCATTCTTAATTTCATTTCCCAATTTTCTTTTTGTTGGTTCATTGCGTGTCAATCTATTTTTGCTTTTTTTCTAATAATACAATAAAAATGAAATAAAAAAATTTAGAAAAGAGAAGTAACAAATTGTTTTGATAAATTCCTTTTAATCATTATGGATTTTAAGAATCAAACAATTACAACAATATTATTTACTCAAAACATTGGATAATTCAAAATACCTGAATCGTTTGAGGCCATCAAGTTTATCTCCAGCAAATTCAGCCATTATTTCTAGTGCTGTAACAGGACCTACACCCTGTATACCTTCAGTATAATCACTACCACATAGTAACGCTACATTTACTAATTCATGTCTGGATAAACCTATATAAAAAAATTACCATATTTATAATTATTACCGGTAACCAATTAGTAGAAATGAAATGAAATGAATGGAGTTTTACGTCCTACTTTTCTGCACCATGAGGGCTAATGAAACAGACCAATTAGTAGAAATAATAGAATTGTTGAAAAGTTAAATTAAGGAAGAAAGTTGTTGATAAACATAGGTTTGTGAAATATTTTTGAAACCATTGAAAATATAAAAAATACTTGCAAGTACTTGCATCCTTCCCTTCCACTTGCTATGTCTACATCTGCTATCAATTGAAATTTCAAATCAATGGCATTAATTGATTAAGAGAGTGTAAACCCCTGCCTCTTACCAAAAGTAGTATCAACCATAGCTTTAGTATACAGTTCAACATGACGTTTCTGATTAAAGAAATTTTTATAAACTCTTTCTCCACCAAATAACCAGATATCACTATCATCAGTTATAGAACCATGAGTTAATTTAGAATGATCTAGAAAGGCACATTGTGCTTCAGCTTCCATAGGACTAACTATATAGGGGATTCCAAATAGCTGTAATAATTCCTGTAAAATAATATTAAGTACTGTAGTAAATGCATAGATATAAATATTAGCTTGAAACCTGTAGGCCTATTTTCGGCTTCAAATTACTAGTTTGTAGAAGCTCCAATTTGTCGCAACCTTAACGACTGATTTTTCAAATAATAATCCGAACTAGAACCAAGTGGATAAAGTGATGTTATCTTTATGTATAAGAGGTAGTGTGATTACTGTCTCTTTAGGGGTTTTCCATTTTTATAATATTGAATGGACATATGGCGATCATTTTTCTAATCTAAGTCGGCCATTGAAAGACTGGTGACCTTGAATAAGTATATACATCTGTTTTACTATTACAACTCCTTTCTTCGAATTTAGAGAAAGGGTTTTAATGAAATAATGTAAACTATGACTAACCTGAGCTTCTATATTCATTTGATCTGTTATAGAGGTAGCTAATCTATCTTGTTTACCTATTTCATATCTTAATATATCACCTTCTGTTTGTAGTTCATCTTGCATATTCTCTAAAGATACCTATACAAAATACAAAATATATAAAAAGAATCACCAAAGATCTATACTTGATACTTATACTAATTCTTATTTTTAGGAAAAATATGACAATCTGGTCAAGTAATTATAAAACAGCAGAAACAAAAGATGTAAAATAGGAAATTGGATTGTTGCATATAGGAGCTTGAAAACCTGTTAATGGTTGATTCTATACTTTATGTTGTCTGAAGGATTTTAAAGTCTTTTCACAATTGATCATATTTCAATTAGTGTTATATACTTACCCTATCTAAACCCAAGAATTCATTACTAAAATTTCTTTCTGGAATTCTTTCTTCATCATCTTCCCTTTCTTCATTATGTTCTTCCATTAATGTTTTTTCATGATCCTCTTCATCGCCATGTTCACTGTTTGTGTCACTGTTCACATTAATTGTGTTCACTACTTCTTGTTTTTCTTTGTTTACCTTCATAACACCTTCATTTTCAACAATGGCTTTTTCTACTTCCTGTTCTGTATTAAATGATTCGTGTTCTTTCTCACTGCTTGGCTTGGATTTTGGTGTACTTGTTTCACTGTTCTCATCTGACTGAGAATCATATGGTTGTTGATTTTTAACAATGCATAACTCATCTTGTATTTCTGGTGGTAAACAGTGAAAATTTGGAGACTCCACATCAATCTCAGATAAATCATCTAAATATTTCTACAAAACAGTATCAGTGATATAGTAGTCAATCGTTAAAATACCAGTTCAAATATGGTGTGTGGATTTTCAAGTGAATAAGCCAGTGGAAGCCAACTTCATCCAAATATTTGAAATGGCCAGCAAATATCTAAGAACTTAAAGAATTTGAAATTCTTGTGCCATTTAATATCCAGATATATAATTGGTTAATATGGACACTGTGATAAGAAAAGCCAGTCAGAATCCTTTTAACAGTTAAATAGTAAGCTGGGGCATTTCTAATATTTCTGATTCAAAATTGCCACCAAAAATATAAGAAGTAATATGCTTTTCAGCGACATGAATTATTGGCATCAATTTTTATTACAATTACAATGATATTACATTTCAGCATCTGTATATAGCAATACATAAGTTTACCTTTTGAATCTGTTCTTTCTGTTGTTGAAGCTGTTTAAGAATGTCCAGAGTAGATGTTTTACTTTGTAAATGTGGAGTCTTAGTCTCACCCTCTATATGTGGCTTCTTATTGTCTGAATTTGATGGCTTGTTTTCACTGTCTAAATTTGATGGCTTGTTTTCAGATTCTGAATTTGGAAAAGTCTTTGCACTATCTGAAGGCAAAAGCTTGATTTCACTGTCTGAGATTGATAACTTGTTTTCAATGACTGAGGGAGAGTGTTTATTTTCAATGTCTGTATTTACAGGCATAGCTGTATTATCTATGTGCATAGGTTTGATTTTGATGCCTGACTGAAGTTTAGTTTCATCTGTATGTGATGTAAGGTCTTTGACTGTAACTTTAGATTCATCAAATGACTTTGTATCTTTCGATACAGATGTATATACACTTGGACTTGCTGATGTTGCATCCATTTTTAACTGAGCATAATTTTTACTTTGTTTCTGAGAATCTGAATTTGAAACACTTTTGTTTATTTTTTTTTCTTTTAATTTCATCAACTCTGCAATAAAATCTTTTTTGACTTCTGCTGAATCAAACATGGCCGCTGGAAACAAATCATCTTCAGTTGCCTTTTTAGGATCAAGAGTAACTTCAATAAATCCTTCATCTACAATATAAATTTTTACATCAAAAAGTTAAATGTTATAAAAACAAATACATGACAAACTTTATGGCAATAATATACAAAATTTGTCCAGGAACAACTGATCATGCTCTCAGTTTCCAATACCAGCTGTCTAAAAGTGGATTCTGAATCCAAAATGTGTGTTGCCAGTAAAATATAGGCTATAGGCAAACAAGTTACGGTATAAAATAAGATACCTGAAATTGACTGTATATCTATTTTAACATTGTAAGTTTTTCACTTTATAAGAATAGAATTTTTTTAGTTTTTCCATTATATAGTTCTAAAAATACAATTACAAATGTGGAATACAGCTATTGGCATTGTTATGTACATATCATGTGTAAGATGCTCAAAAAGAATACTTACTGTCTGATACAGAGCTGTCTTCTTCTGTTTTAATTTTACAATCACTGAGTATTTCTATATCTGAATCTAATTCTGTATTAAAATAAGCTTTATTATCTAATATAGTCACCTCATCTGAATCTGACTCACTGTTAATATCGTATTTCTTTACTGTTATCTCTTCTAATTTCTTTTTATAACTTTCACGCTGATCCTCTTCTGCACTGTTTAATAATAACTCATCTAAATCACTTGAAATTTCACCATTACTTTTCAGTTCTGTACAAATTTTTCTTACTTTCTCTTTTGGTTCCATTTTTTCAATTTCTGACAGAATTTGTTCACAATCCCGGGCATCTTGAATCTGTTGTTTTTTACTGAGTCCTTTAATTAATATATAATGTGAGCTGTCTTCTGATACAACACGAGATGATGTGATATTCTCATTAGATAACTGTAGTCCTAATGATCCAGTTATCTCCCCTGAACTTCTGGCATTCATAACTTTTCTTAGATCTTCAATTTGACTGGATAATTTACTACGTTTCATTAACTTCGAGAGTTGAAATGATGAAAACTCATCAGAATCCTGAAGCAAAAAGAAAATCAACAACGGAAAATTAATATCATTTCCTTCAAATAAGACTTAAAATTCTACAACATATCAAATTTTTGGTTAGACTTGATTTAAAATCTTTATTAAGCGTGAAGTTGAAAATTCACAGCTTTATTTCGCTCTAATGATAACAACTAAATTTGAAGATACATGTAGATTCTTTTTGAAAGTATATTTGCTTGTCCACATAGAAAACCAATTAACAAAACATTACCTCTGGTAGATCTTCAGTAACTACAAAATATTTCTTTCTCACTTCTTTCATTTCTGTTAAAATTTCATGTTGTATTTCTGGGGGTAATGATTTAAATTCAGCAGATTCTGTATCTATTTTATCAATGGATTGAAATTTCTCCTGAAATAAATGTCATTGGGATAATGAATGTCAACAGTATAACTCCTTAGAGAACAGAGATGACACTACATAGGCTAGCAATAAACAGTTAATGAACTTGAGCTGACTCTTGGAAGCATTGGCCAGGCATCACAATTTTTCTTTACTTGAGAAAGATTTGAAACCAATCCAACTAGCTACTGACTGAGCTATTCCACAGTCACATGTTGTTATAATAAGAATAAAAGCACTGGCCTAAGTCACTAAACTACTTATACTTCAGAATTCCATACAATTACTGGTATAAAATATATTATATTGTGTATATACCTCGATCAAACGAATAAAAGCCAATCCATCTTCATCTATATCATCATCATAATTCATAGCATCAGTTTCTCTACAATATATTTATGTCAATTAATTTGAAGTCAAGGGTCCTCGTACTCTAGAATATTTCATTGGGCTTCTCGACCTGTTCAGTGAGATTGTTCATATGCCTGATTAGAATTTGATCAAATTCATGGCAGTTTTACAGCAGAAGACAGTTCCAACAAAATATCATATTGATATATTGAACTGTAGAAGTGGTCTTATGCTATGAATGTGCAACATCCTGAGTATCCTTATGATATGAAATATCATGTAATATGTAATAAATTAATTTTGAACTTTGTGAGGTTCACTCATCAAGAAGAAATAAATTACAGTTTTTACCCTTTATCAACATCTGGCAAGGGTGTTAATTCAAACATATCAGGTTTTCTACTTGTTGATGGATCTTGTAAATAGACATTTCTTGTATCTTCACCTAGAGCAGCCTTTACAGCATGACTTTTTATTAAATTTTCTAGTAGTTTTTTATTAGCTTTACCACTTTCTCTTTCAGCATGTTCCTTTCTTTCTCTCCTAGCAGCCTAGTAAAAAATACAAATCAGTAGCAGATGAGACTTTGGTATAAGTATCCAAGGCAATATCAACATTAGCATGTATGCAACCAATATCTGCATATCAATGACTATATTTACTTCACAGCTAAAATGAACAAAATTCACCCATCCTGGGGGGAACAACCTGAACTTACTAGTGTTTGTTTCTTTAAAGTTGGTACTCCACCATCAAATACAAAGACTGGTTTAATTCTGTAGAATAATAGTTTACAGATTCTACTAAATAAACCATACAGATGAGCATTAGGTAAGGGGTTCCCATCTTTATCTCTCATACCTTTCATAGTTTGATGTAACCATAAACTAACATCTTGCAGAATAGTTAAGTTATTTTCATATCAGTTTGATTTTGTTGAACTGATTTTTGTCCTTATCAGATCAGATCACCATACCAAATTCTAGAATATTTTTTTGCCACATATACTTATATGAAAATAGTATACTATACTTATGATAACAATTTATTACATCAATGTTACATTCAGCATTCTTGAGCTAGACAGAATAAACACTTTCTTAGACCTTTCAATATCAAATTTCAGCTCATGTCTATTTGATGGATTCTAACCAAGGAGGTAATTCAATTTGATTCCCAAACTGATCTATTCCCATAAACTCTTACTAAAGGATACCAACTGCTAGAATTTTACCATCTAGCGTTTCTAATGATACAGGTCTACCTGCTGCTTGTAGTAACTGCCATAATCCATGAACTCCCATTTTTCTTTTATTTTAATTCTACAAATAAACAAAAGCCATTAAATATTGATAGATACATGTCCTTTATATTTTGTAAACATGTTTTTGATGAAATAGTTATAAATATATTATACAATAGGTGTACATATCTTATTTATGATATTTCATCTGATTTTATTTTGTTGTATAATAGAGTCAATATGACATAAGAATCAAGAATCTGGTATTATAGGCATAGGCCTATATGTAGCCTTGTTGTATGTATGTTGTAAAAGTAGTCTGGACTTGACATCTTTTGTCTCCAGTCCAGACTACTTTTACAACATACATACAACAAGGCTACTACCATGCCATTTTAAGTGTTAACAATGACTCAAATTCAATGGATACTTGGTTTTGGTAGCCTACTTATCATATATGAAATGATTTTTGACATGTTATTTTGAAGGTAGAGCACCTTATAAGTGTAAAACTTCCTCTAAGACACAAAGACACTGATCAATTATATGCCTCGACAATCAAGATTGTTCCAACAATGTTGCACAACTTCCTCACTTCTTTCGATTTCATCTCAATCTTCTTCGAACTTTCAGTCTTTCTTCTGGTTAATCAAGAAAAATATCTAAAATGTAAACTTCCGTTTGCGCACGCATAACGCACGTGTTATTAAATATTGGAAAATGGCGGATGGAGACGGTATGTAACAAAAATATTATTAAAAATTGCAATTTAACCGCACATATTTGTTGAATATTTTCATATGATAAGTATGCATTCTGTAACGGGGTTTTTAAACATTGTGGGGTATTTGCACAAATAAACCAAGAACTGTCTTATATATGTTTGAGGGTTTAAATGCAGAAACGCTATTTAAATTACTTTCGCACCACGTGTTTTCTTTGCCTATTTTATGTGATACTTTTAGTATTGACAAGCCTACATTTATTAGGGAATACAGGATGCGTTATGCCTAACCCCTTTTGCACACTACCAGTTTTGGACTCACCACTTCTTTTGAGTGCATAGATCATTTGATTTAGACTCATCTGAAGTATTTGTAAGGTATGGATTCATGGAGGATAATAGCCAATATATAATCTTGAATTTAATATTTTAACAACCTAATCAACACTATGAATGATTTTATATTGTATCTAATTTTCAGTAAAAATTAAGAAAAAAAAGAAGAGTGTTGGTGGTGATGAAGTTGGGGTATGTATGTTAATAACATAGCTATAAAATGCTCATTTAAGTGCCATAGCATGATTGAGTCGTTCCTTGTAATATATGATAAAGGACTACCATGGTACATGGACCTACCAGTAAAATAGGAAAGGCTATTTAGTACTCATTTATAATTAATTCTAATGTATGCACTAGTAGTGCTGGGAATAATGATCAAAAAATCGATTATCGCTGTTATGCCATGTACCAATAACGATAATTCTTTTCAAAATCGATTATTGCAAAAATACCTTGGCTAATTCTGTTATAGTAGTTCTGGGATCATAATAAAAACACGTTCTCGGCAGTCACATACCGCAAAATAAACTCTACTAAGACTAAAAGTCTTTATTCTCGTACGTTTTAAGCGAATTAGTAAGAGTGTTAAAAGTCTACTGTGTGCGGAATTATAAGTGTTTTAAAGTCTTCTTTTTTTAGACACTGTCATACATAGACAAGACATCTATAGAAATTGGACAAGAAGTTCCTAGTTTGAGATTTTTTGAAGGATTTTTAGTACTTCTGAAGACAATTTGCATATAGTCAAGACTCAAATCGACCCCTCAGACCAGTACATCTGTTCCTTTAAGACTATACTATACTTGAAAAAATTTAATTCTTTCATGTCTTTTCAGGATATTCAACAATCAGAACATTTTTTATTGAGACCATCAGAGAAAGTACAGAAGTTAGAAACCTCACAATGGCCTTTATTATTAAAGAATTTTGATAAGTTAAATGTTTTGACCAACCATTATGTACCAATACCATCTGGATGTTCACCACTAAAACGCTCTATTGAAGATTATGTCAAGTAAGAATAGTTAAATGTTTTAGTACGGTTGAAGCAGAGGTGACTTCCGGCAGCAACTTCAAGATAAGCATTCAAGCATGGCATTGATTGAAACATGATTTAGTTCATGATAAAAGTCAAATGAGCTGAAATGGCATTAAATGACATGATCTGAATAGGTTTCATATAAGATATCCATAATAAGGACAGATTATTTGTTACTCAAAAGAATTCTTTGGTGCTCACTGAGCACATTTGCTTTTATGATTGCAGGTCAGGTTTTATAAACTTAGATAAACCAGCCAACCCATCATCACATGAAGTTGTAGCATGGGCTAAACGTATATTAAAAGTAGACAAAACTGGTCACAGTGGTACATTAGATCCTAAAGTTACAGGATGTTTGATAGTGTGTATTGAAAGAGCTACTAGATTAGTAAAATCTCAACAAGGTGCAGGAAAAGAATATGTCTGTATATTTCATTTACATAGCCCTGTAGAAGATGAACAAAAAGTTGCCAAGGTAAGTTGTGTGGATAGAATAAATTTGAGAATTAAAATGATATTTTTATGTTGTGGAACTGTGTTGCAATATAACAACAGGTCAAGAATTCTGTAGTAATTGAAGATAAGAATGGTATCAGGGTCAAGTTTATCTTTTAAAACCATTAACCATTATTTAGATATGTTTAATACTCATCCATATGAAAGGAAGGATTCCAAGTTATTTGAATTATTGTTTCTATTTTTCTTCATTAGAATATAGAAAGGTTAACTGGTGCATTATTCCAAAGACCGCCATTAATCTCAGCTGTAAAAAGACAACTTCGTGTTCGAACTGTTTATGAATCTAAAATGTTAGAATATGATAAAGATAAGGGCATGGGTAAGTACTTGTTATATAGATATCCATAAGAATTTGATTGGTTTGAAAAAAGGATTCTCACAATTATTTATAAGTATGACACTGAAAAGAATATCTATTTCATTTCAAATCAATCTACTTACTAATCAAGTTATATTAACAATGTGTTGTCTGTATACTTCCCAGGTGTATTCTGGGTAAGCTGCGAGGCTGGCACGTACATCAGGACCATGTGTGTTCATCTTGGACTCTTCCTTGGGGTCGGAGGTCAGATGCAAGAATTGCGACGAGTTCGTTCTGGCATTAACTCAGAAAAGGTATGAATTTTGTTGCTTATTTAATGTCATATTGAGTTAAGAAAATTCTAATAAAGATTCTTCAAGACAATAATAAGCTTTTTATGACTATATTACCTTTGTTGTTCTCTGAGAGGTTATTATTTCATCATCTATGTTAATGAATGACTATGTTGTATTTTAGGAAGGATTAGTTACTATGCATGACATATTAGATGCTCAATGGTTATATGAAAATCATAAAGATGAATCGTATTTAAGAAGAGCTATTAAACCATTAGAAGCTTTACTCACATCCCATAAACGTGTAATAATGAAAGATACTGCTGTAAGTTCTTCTGATTTTTATTTTCTATTTCCTAATTATAGACTTCATTTAGCAAAAAGTTATAAAAGCTATCACTGATTTTGTTTTTGATAAAACTTATGACAATGTATGAATACTTGTAGGTAAATGCTTTATGTTATGGAGCTAAGATAATGTTACCAGGTGTATTGAGATTTGAAGATGGTATTGAAATAGGACAAGAAATAGTAATAATTACCACAAAAGGAGAAGCTATTGCCCTAGGTAACTTTTATGTTTGTTTTTAATTGGTCAGTTATGCTCTAACCTTAGCTATTGTCCTGTAATTGTTGCTTATCTACATCCTATGGTTTTATGTCAAGATGACGTATAAAGTAGATTCCAAAGACCCCCCACCCCCCCAGGATGACTTTGATTTTAATTAATTTGACTCTATTATTTTAGCTATAGCATTAATGACTACTGCAGTGATGTCAACCTGTGATCATGGAGTTATAGCTAAGTTAAAACGTGTTATAATGGAGAGGGATACATATCCTAGAAAATGGGGACTAGGTCCCAAGGTAATAGAATAATTTATTTTAAATAGCTTTCAATGTTTTATAAGAAGTAGCTAAGTGTGTTTCTGTAATGAGACAAGTTGAAATATTGTTTTGACACTTTCTATTTATTGTAGGCCAGTATCAAGAAGAAAATGATCAAGTCTGGTTTATTAGATAAATTTGGTAAACCAACTGATAAAACACCTAAAGACTGGAAAAATTCCTATACAGATTACAAGTAAGTATATGATCAAAACATGATCATGTTTATCTGTTGTTAGTCATACAGTGGTAGACTGCAGTGCCTTATTCATTGTTAACATATATAACAAGTTGATTTTGTTTCAATTTATAATTTCAGTATATCTTTTAAGAGTGAAACAGAAACTAAAGCTGTAACAGATGATAGTATTAAACAGGATCCTGACACACCTGGTGGTGGGTTCAAATTAAAGGTATACTTTATAATGATTCTCAATCCTAGTTATACCATCTAATACCAGCATTAAATGCCCACAAAAATTAAAAAATCAAACTGAATTATTCTTTAAGTTAATAATGTGACTGATCTGAGGATAAATCTGAAACACTATACAATGATCATCCAATATTATATCATGACATTATTCTTAATACATGGAGCTCTTATATTATGTTGTATGTGGCCACTGGTAATATGATTGTTACATGGAAATTATTATATAATTATTTATGTTCTGTTTCATTACAGAGAAAACATAAACCTTCAAGTAGTGAGAGTTCAGAGGAAGAAAGTAAAGCAGTGAAGAAAGAGAAAAAGAAGAAGAAAAAGAAAGTAGAAGCTGAAGAATCAGAAGAAGAGGAATCTGAAAAGAAAAAGAAAAAGAAACACAAGGAACAGAATGGAGAGGTAGATATCCAATTTAATTTTTTCTCCATTGTCATTGCTTCTGTGATCTTGTGTAAGTTGTGTACATGGGACAAGAGGTGGGATTTTAACATGAATAGTGATATGGTTAGCTGACATAAACTATTATCAGCTGGTAAAGCATTATGTAGAATTAACTGAATTAACTGACCGTATTTACATTATCATTACAGAGTCCAGAGAAAAAGAAAAAAAAGAAGAAGAAAAAAGAAAAACAAGAAGAATCTGATTAATCATAATCATTCTCATGATGGATGAATGTGGAGCGAGAGCATTGTCATTTTCATTGATATTTTGTTTTTATGAAGGTTTATGCTTTTAATCATGTTTTGACACTGTTATGAGAGAAAGTTTTAGATTAAAACTTCCTCCACTGATGTTTTTACTCATTATTAATGAAATTGAAATAAAGGAATTAATGATATTGTGAGAGAATCAATTTGATTAGTGCTAATGAATTCTTACAGAGATGGTATTTCTGTAGACAGACATGCAATATTGTATGATATGTTAAGTAACATGAGTAAAGTAGCATTTATTATACACTCTGTTACTGTTTATACAAGATGTACTGTTTATACAAGATGTATGAATGATACAAAATAAACAAATAGTAAACAATTACTTGTATTTCTTAAACCCTTGTCTGAAATGCAGGGTGTATACACCAGCTACTGTCTGCTGATTTATCCAGCTCTTTTTGCTCTAGCCCTGAATTGAAATATTTGTCACTCTGTCTCTCGAGTGGGAATTGGAGAGTTGAAATAATTTTTAACTTGCCACAAATATTACTTTTCAAAATTCATTAATATTTCTCTGACTGACTCTATGACATGTCAAGTCTTAGTGAAGCTAACTTTTAATCTACCTTAAAGAGGATTTTCTTAAAAAGAGGACACTGATTTGCACCAACTTGGTTAATGCAATTCTAATAAAATTGTCAAAGTGCCATAGATGATATAAGCAGATTTTGAACATTAAGCTTTATTGGAATGGCAGGGTCCACATATGCCTGACTGGTAATTGACACATTCAGTTTCCTAGATTTACAATCCCTTCTTGGGAATTAAGGAGTCTAGTTATGCGTTTTAAATATTGTTTTTTTGCAAAACGAAACATTATTTCGGTGTTGGTTACCTTTGTTTGCAAACTGTTCCAAGATTCACATTGTAAACAAAGGATCGAACACCAACTTATATAAACATAAAATTAAAATCTTGCAGGCAAGTTTGAAATAGAGTATTTCATCTATTTGATTTATTTGTCATTGAGAACATGTATTGATGGTAATAATATTATTAGTGATGTACAGCCATTAACTTAATATAAAATATCAGATAACAATGATATTTACAGTATTAATATGCAAAATAAAAATTAAAATATTAATACATGATTAAATTTATTTGATCATCTGAGTCAACAAGTCACAATTTTAAATGTCCATCAGTTTCAATTATTATTTTTATCAGTTTTTACAAAACAAAACCTATGACAACATGCTCTGAAGAGGACAAAAATTTACTAAAAATACAGTAAATACATCCAGCTTAAAATAACAGTTATAAAATGATTTTCCTGTCTCTATTTAGCAATTGAACTCATGAGTCAATCTTGTAATTCTTAAAATTATACAGAAGTAAATATAAGTTTTCTAGAATATACAAACAATGCCAGGTACATATTCCAAACATAAAGGTTGCTTGAATTGAATATTAACTACATTGCTGTATAAAAGTATAGGAAAATTAGCCTTAGAACTACAGATGTAGACAGGTTTATCTGTATTGTATTTCAAAATTTTCTAGATGGCAAAAATACTGATAAGTCTATAGTACTATATAGTACTTTATGTCAATATGTGATTTATACATTCAACAGTCTATATAAAGTGATCAGATATCAACATGAAAACCTGAGAAATTTTCAGTAGCCAGTAGCTATAGAAACTCAATAACAGATTGTATTAATTGTAATGTTGTCCTGTACTAGTGTTTCAAAACTTTGGAGGAAAAGATACAGACATAACACAGCAGTGCAATAAAGATAAATATTGTGCTTTATAAATACACTGAATTCAAAGACATTTATTGATATGTACTTAACATTTCAGAACAAATTTGTCTTGTCTGAATTCCTATGCAAAAAGATTTATTATTGGAAGCGTTTGAGCATAAACATTTGAATGCAATGAATTCGAGATTCATGTATGTATTGTATAATCATGATTGAAGAGTATTTAGGGAGTACATAACGTAAAAAAGCTAAGCTGTTCTCATCATAACATGTAGACAACTAAGTTGGACACTTTGCCTTGTTTGGTTTATATATTCAGCTAAAATAATACACTAAATAACAAATACACATCTCCTATATATTTACATTTACATAATTAACAAATGGTGGTAAAGGTTACATGTCTTTGATTTGGGGGGTTTCCAGATAAATAATTATTGATGATCACATTATGAATGATAATGATGCTTTCAAGCCTGCAGTTTACATTTACCAGGAGGCAACACATTCACAAAAAGGTTCATTTCATGACATCGTTATTTTAGCACAATTGTTGATACTGTAACAAACTTTCATTGGTTCATTTCATGTCCATAACAGCCAATAAAAGTCTTTAAATAAAGTCACATGATAAGGGATATCATAGACAAGAAGTAGCATCATGAAAATGAGGCATTACTATGGTGATGAGGATTTCTTTTATTTCAGAGTTTATCTTTAGCTGGTACCCAGATAACTGGGCCGGATTGATCTCGAATCACTTCCTTTACCCGTGCATAGATCTCATCTGCTGTATCTCCTTGTACCACAGCTAAAACAATAAAGTTTCTGTCATTTTATCATTGGAATTGAAATTGCTCAATGACATGTATTTAGAAAATGCCTGAATGGAGACCAAAATGATAAGTGATTCTCTGAGGTGAGGCTCAAAGCCCCTTGAGGTCAGGGGACTGGAAGCTTCCGCGAGAAACCAATGAGTTTGAGTTTGTCAGATTAATTTTGAGCATTTAGAGGGCTAAGATTTTTCAAAAAAATAAAATATGTTTGTCGACAATTCATTTCCAGTAAGATCTGAATCAGCCTTATACAGCTGTGAGCATCAGACATTTATATATTTGAAATATTTAAGTTTAATTTAACTTACCAGTAAAATACTCTCCAAATTCTTGTTCTAATTTTAATGCCCTTTCATACGTTTTACGTGCTTGTTCTTCTGTAATTCTTTTATTCATTTCCCTGGAATATTAAAAAATTCATTTCATTTCACATCATATAAAAAGTGCTCAATTCATATTAACTTTTCTAAATAATAAATACCATGATCCAGACAAAAACAATCACTTGTCTAGGTGGACTTGAGGAAAATGGACTAAAATACAATACTTACATAATAGATTCTATAGATTTAGGTTTAATAAAAATAGCTATAGGATACAAGCCAGCTACTTGTAGACGCTTAATAGCATTACCACTAACATCTAATATACAATGTTTACCCTGTAATAAATATAAATATCATTTATTAGAAATATAAAATATATCATTTATTAGAAATATAAAATATATCATTTATTAGAAACAAAAATTATTAGAAATCAAAATATCATTTATTTGAAATCAAAATTTTATACAAAGGTAAAAGGTATTCAACTGAGTCAATTATGTGGATGATTATGCTAATTATTTCTATTAATTTACAACAATAAACTCACCACTTCAGCAACTTCTTTAACTGATGCTACACTGGTTCCGTATAAATTATCGTTGTACACACCAGCTTCAATAAATAAATGATTTTGAATATCTTTTTCCATTTGTTCACGTGATTCTACAAAATGATAGTCTCTTGAATCATGCTCATACTCTCTTGGCGTTCGAGTTGTATCTGAAAAAAGATAAAAATGTTTATATAAAGTGAGATATAACAATGTTCAGGGAGGGATTTTGACAGAGTATTAACTTTAGTGATGTTGTAATACTTTACAATTATATGCATACTTTACAGACTCATAACCAGAAGAATTTGGAGTAAAAGGAATATAAAATCATCACAATTTATTAATTTTGTAACATTGATTTTAATACATATGGTTGTTAAAACTTACGAGGAACACAGCTGCCAAATTTATCAGGGAACTCAGACATTAAATCATCATTTATTCTATCTTTTAAAGGACCTAATATTATAACTGGTCTGGTATATTTTACTGAAATATAGGAAACGGATAATAATCAGTAACTTTTGAAAGATTGTTCTTTAAGCATAGAGTGCATGAAGCAACTACTTTCAAATCTTCTCTACTGAAGAGTTCACAGTTCTAATTGGGAGTTGACCAAAAATATGGCAGGTATACATTCTCTAGTAATAATAACGATACATGAAGATGTCAGTTGTAAAAATTAATACTTACAATCTTGTTGAACAACAGCTTCGTATGATAATATTGGTTCAAATCCACCTGAAATCAAACAGATTATTATATAGACTGGTGTTATACTTTATATTGATGTACATAGTAATAGAAGAGATTGGCAATGAAGGCATCAATTACATTAAGTATATCACATGATGGACAGATAACTGTTGTTACATTGGTATGTCTAATTTAAGTAATTGGTGCATTATATTGTTTAGCACACTGTGGTCAAGTCAAGCCCTTCTTTTATTATGAAATCATTCATATTCATTAAGGCATGGTTTTCCTTGAATTTGCTCGTCAGCCAATAATCTGACATATGTGCGCAAGAAATGTAAAACACTGAAGTGGGAGTGGAAAATCTCAGTTGGTTTGAAAGTCCTCTGCTAGGCTATTAGGGTGACCTTGAGGTAAAATCTGATGTCGCAGCCAATGAAGTTTCAACAATAGTTTCAATAATGATAAACATATATGATAAGTCTAGCCAAGTAACATTTAAAAAAAAAATAATGGAATAAATTCAGTTTAACCCAAGAATTCTGAACTAATATGAAAAAAAAATGTACTCCAAGAAATTTGTTGCCACGAAAATATTGATTTGACACAGGTAAAAGATTATGACACCAAGGTTTAAAGATAATGGACTTAGTATCAGACATCATAGAAAAATTGGCATAGTTTTTGTTACATTCATGACAATATGCACTCTACAGTTAATTAGAATTCAGTATTTTAAAACAAAAATGTGAAAAAGTTGATGCATTATCGAGCTGTTTAATTATTGTCTACATGTCAAGTCACTTGGCAATGAATTTAAATGGAATGTGATAATGAATTTTAAATAAATCATCACAATATTATACTCGTGCTGCATGCCTACAACAGCTCTGAACTCTTTCATTGTATCAAAACTCTTACAAGAACCTTACCTAGTAAAATTCAATTTGCTTTCTAAAGCAAGTTTTCATTGTATTCATGTTTCAGAGGGTATAATTATTTATAACTTAAGGAAAATGAAGACGAAGTCATGTTCTTTTCCAAATATATACGGTTCTCAAGCTCAACAATATTAGAGTGTATCTTGTAATTATGATTTAGTTTTCTCGAGAAAGAGTTAGAAAGAATGAGTGATATGTTTTTAAACAATGCAATGATTAAAAAATATCAATATATAGTATTAAAGAATTTAAGACCCATTGTTTTTTGTTTTTCACAAAAATTTGCCTTAGTAACATGAAAATTTGACTTCTTTGAAGAAAAATCTCATTTAATAAGTGGAAAATCTCACTTTCATTCCATAAGAAAATCTCACTAAAAAGGTTGAAAATCTCAATTAATAACTTGGAAGTCCAAATGCATATCAGACTTAGTAACTGGAAAATTTGAATCAATATGTACATTGTAATTAAATTATCATTGCATTGTGTAGAGTTGGTGAAATCTAAGAGGGTAAAGAACTACTTACGAAGACTGTCATTATCACTAGGAGGGAGACCTACAGGGGAAGAAAAACAACATGCAGTGAGTTGACAAAACAACAATTAGAATGGTAATAATGACATGTCAATGATATTAGAAATATTTTGATGGTCAATAAATGACTTGGTGAGATATCTAATTAATGTGAATCACCAACATGTTTTATTCAAAACCAATGATATGATCATGTTTAATTATTTAATTGTGATATGAATAGGAATAAATCATGGCACATGAATAATAATACAACATGAATAATAAATAATACAACACAACAGTCAAGCATTATCACAAATATTATCTTCTAAATGAAAATTAAAATCACTATATGTCAATTGTATCTATAGTTTCCATTTTAACATGCTTATATTTTACAAACTATATTTCATGACTTTTGATTCATCCCAGTTTTTTGAAAATTTGGAGTCATGCCAATCCAATCCACAATACTTAGAAAGGGTAATAGACTTTATTTATACATCTGCCAAATTTAATCCAAAATGAGACTCATAACACAAACAAAAAAGGTTGCTTTTTTTTCACTGAAGTGAAATCGCCACCTTGACATCATTATTGTCTTCCATTCACTCAAACTCAAAACTAATCATATTTTACTTCAATAAAATCTGAGTTGATTTCACTATTTAATGATACTTTCAGATGACTTTTACCTTCACACATTTCTGAGAAGGGTCAATTTTAAATCAATTTTCTTGCTGTTGATCAGTTGTTTAATGATGTCATATAGACTATTCCTTCAAATAGTTGACGTAATTTGTATTATGAGCCTCGCATTCGATGGTTTCATAATGAGGTGTGAAGGTCTATTGGCTTTTGAGAAGGATTTGTGTAATACGTTTACTAAATTTTATGAAAATCTATGAAAATCATGGTTACAATCCATATAGAAATAAATAATTGTGATGAGACCAGATATACTACATTAATATACCAATAACTAAGGTTAATATAAAGCATACTAGTAATATAATAATGATAACTGTGACTTTTGTAAAAATCAAATAAAATTTTAAAATACTTTAAATATATCTGCTGCACTACACATTAAAAACAACATCAAACTTTTAAACTATTCTATCACCAACCATAAACATAATCAGATCCAAAATTTACTATTTATTACTTCATTTACAAAAATAAATCAAATTATACTAATCAATTAATTACATTATTAAAATCAAAATTTAATTTATTTGGATTCTTTTTGGATCAGATTTTCACTTTCAGTTTCTGAAATCTTTTCTGCTTCAAGCAAAAATGTTTTAGATTGCAAGCTTTTTAAATTTCAAGATTTCAGAAACATTTTAAAAACAAGGTAAATATACAATGATGAGAGATGACTAAAATACAAACCTTCATTTCCAGCTAAACCTTCTGTAAATAAATGGAAATGAAAAGGATGATAACAACTCATGATCTTACACCTCACAGTTTAACCTGAGAAATCTGGCCCTACCTGTTCCTTGGATATTATCAAATATAAAATTTGATGAGACAGCAATCGCTAGTTTTTGAGAATTTTCATCATGACAAAAGCCAAATTGAGTATAACTTTTGGTAAAAATTTAAAGCTGAATTTGATAAATGTGCTGCTATTTCATGTGTATATCACATCGAAGGAACAGGTAGGTCTAGATTTGTCAAGCTAAGCACAGTTGTACAACAGGAACGGAGAAATAAACCATAAAATTTACAACTCAAATTAACATATTGATTCAGATATTAACAATATAGAAGTCAATGATGAAGTATAACAATGAAATTCATTTGACTTGATGAAAATGTTTCCAACATCAACTTTAAATTTTAAAAAATATTTTCTAAAATTTTGTTAATGTAAAAATGAACTTATTTCTTCATTCCTGATACATCAAGAATTGTCTGTCAATTATATTTCTACAAGACCAAGACCAGAATGGTTTTCGGGAAGAAAAATTGGTTTTAGCCCAAAAAACCATCCTGACTTTCACTTTCATTTTATTGTGGCATCCTGCTTAAGTAAGTTTACTGAAGTAAAAATAATCCTCCGAAACAGGCAAGAATATAATTGACGGGCAATATTACTTAATTTAGAAAAGATATCAGCCAGAATTTTCTACTTACGTTCATCAGCACTAACATCTTCACTACCACTCAGATCTTTACTTTTCATAAATGGAAATTTTCTGGTAAAGGAAAAATTTTTCTTTTTTCTATCATTTGCTGCTACTTGCTGAAACCAGAATTGAACAAATTATAGTAAATCTGAAGTTTTAGATTCAGTATTGATCCTTTGAACATCAGCAATGGCTACACCAGCAATAAAAGACTGGTGATGTTATTTCCTCAAAAATGGCTCAAAAGCATCTGGATCTTTTGCAAATTGAATTTGGAGTTGACTGTTTCATGACATACATGTACATAATACTTATATCTTTTTCATAAGCAGATACATCTACTGTCTCAAAAAGAAACACAGTCCAAATTAAAATATGGTTCAACAATTGATGTATTCAGCACTATTTTAACAGTGAAAATATTTGTTACTACAGAAATAAATGTTTAATATGTTTACGTATATTCTACTTACCTTATCTGTACTTGTACTATTTTTACCAGTAAATTTAACATTTTTTAATCTGGCTCTTTCTTTTCTATCAACTCTACAATTCAGAAAATTTAATCATCTTTAAAAATTGACTATAGCTTATTATATTTATCAGTCAATATTCTTTTCTTTTGTAAATCTCCATTATGATATTTGCAGTTTTTTTTTCTTTTGCAGTGATACCATAAGGCAATGTTTGGATAATATTTTACTTCTGATGGCAATTGCAGGTGAGTTGTGATGCCCACAACCTTTACATGTCTTATAACTAATGACTAACCTGGATTTTGAAGGAATAATACCAATACCCTCCTCTTCACCTTCAGGAGTTATCCTCCTTGCTTGCCACCACTCATCATCAGACGCATTCGTGACATGTAATATATCACCATATTTAAATGCTAAACCTTTACTGGGTAGACCACTATCTTTTTTAGGATCATATTCAAATAACGCTCTAAAAATAGAAAATAATCAATATATAGGCATCAGCTAACACAATTTTCAATTTATAAAGTTTGACTACATGGAAAATAAATGAATGATACAACTGTCAATAGTAAACTAGCAAACAAGAATCCAGCAGAAGACAACCATAACTTTAACAACTGTGGCAGTTAGTCAAGACTGTGGTAGTGAAAAGTTTTGAGTCATATTTGTTCCACTGAAAAATGTTATAATATTAAAACTACAGAGCATAAACACGATTTTGAAGTAAGAAAGACAAAATTAGGTATATCTGAATAGTTATTTTTAAGTTGATCATAAATAGATAAAATTCATAATGTGAACCTAAATTAGAAATGTCACCACACAATTTACCAAATCATATAACTATAATACTTGTTATATTATCACAACATGACAATCATAAATTTCTATTTCAGTCAGCTACTTTATTTTCATTTATCAACTTTAGTGCATTGCCAGCCAAATTTTTATCAAACTATACAACAAAAGAAAAATTTAAATGTCGGACAAGATTTTTTGATTAAATAATAACAATGAGTACTAGTACTATATATAACATTATTACAAGATCATATCAAAATTTCCCTATTTTATCTTTCTTGTCCATCTTTATCTTAAAAAATTGTATGAATGATCTATCAAATAACACAATGTGTGGGCTGATAAGGGTTAAAATTCCAACAAGTCAATATCTAATGTCAAGAGTCCTATCATTTATAGAACACAAAATCTTCAAAATAGCTGCAATTACGTTAATCAGGGTTAAGCCTTTAAAAATATAGATTATTTATCATACATAATATTATCCTTAAAATCTTTTCACAACTGTCTCTCAAACACAACCTCTGCCAACAGCTCAATTTTTAAAATAGCTGATTGCATACTGCCGACAAGCAAGCTCTTAATCAAAATGTTCCCTGCCCCTTTAATCCCACTAGATACAGGACTAACAACTTACCTGACATATAAAGACCGTTTTTGTGTCGTTCGTAAACTACCAGAACTTGTGTTCATCATTTGTTCTCTTAAATCTTGTATTTTAGCTTCAAATCTGTTGTATTCTACAAAAGAAAAGTTTAACATTTGAATGCTATATAATTCTAAAACTGGATACAGATATATATCTTATAGATCACAAAGTAACATGCAGATATAAGTTTCAGTTTAAAGAAACACATCAGAATAACCAATCCACTACAGGTTTTAATTTTTTTATTTTAAAATTGTTCAAGATTAAAGAGAAAACAATGGCAAACCCTTACAACAATTCAGAAAATATTTTATTATTAATACAAACAATTGACGTATGATATATCAGGTTATTTGGTTATTCAAAAAGTTAAAAAAATTTAAGCTACATCTTATACATAAATAGTCCATTTTGATGTATGTGAAATTAATTGGTAACTGATACTAGTACTTACAATGAAAAATGACAGACATGAATACTGTTTAAGAAAAGTAGTTACAAGACTCCTTTAAACCAAGTCCAAAAAAGTAACAAGATAAGTTAAATTAAATTTCCTGTAGCTTAGAATAAAAATCTAACTACATCATTTTTAGAGATAACAAAATGGTTGTTTTTTCTATCTCCAGATTGAAATAGAAATTGATATAATAATGAATAATGATGTTATATACTTCATTCCATTGTACAGTCATAAAAATCAATTTTTAATGTAGATGTATTACCCAATCAGATTACAGTATTTCCTTAATTTGGGTGTTATCCCAAGTTTCAAGAAAAAGGTTGAAGATTTTAATTTTCAAATATCTGTAACTAGTATTTTCTCATAAACATTGGATTGGCAAAATGTCTTGATTTTTAATGATTCCATGTTATAGATAAAGTCAAGATAATATAACAAGTTTTCCTAGTTTATCACTACGACCACCATGTCATATGACCGGAAATGTAAAATATGTACAAGATTATAAATAAGGGTATATCAGATAATAACTTACCTTCAGGTTTATATTGAGCAATTACTTCAACAACATCTCCAGCACGTTTTAATGCTGCAGCTGCTTCTTCATGTGTTGCAACACGTAAATCTGATTCATTTACCTGGAAAGAGACGAATAACGAAATCTTTACACAAGCAAATTTATTTGAGTCAAGATTATTTTCATTTCAAACCTGGAAATCAATGAAATTTGTTAACCAAATCTATAGACAATTTGAAAATCTGTACCATTAACCTATAATTGAAATATTATACTTGTATTGAATACACGTATCTACAAAATCAATCACTGTATTTAAAATAAGACAACATAGATCTATCTTTGTTTCTTTGGCCAACAAAAAATACAGAAATAAGTAAATGAAGATATTAAGATAGTGCTGTTCACTTCAATATTATAAAAGCCACAAGAAGTCCACAAAATATTGAATATACATTGGTAATAATCAATTTGATATTTCTTCATCGAAATTTCCTATCTCATCCACAAACAGAACAGTGCAGTACCTTTCTAAATAACTCAATATCAGTATTTACAGGAAAAATTAACACGCAAATCTACCATCTACTCTATTCAAATTCCAACAGTTAAAACAAGTCTAGTAATAGCAAACATGTACCAAACATTTCTGTACACAAACTGCCCTAGGCTATTAAAAACACCAAAATATGTCTTTACTTAGTGTGTTTACATATATTATTAACTTACTTCAAAATACCTGGTTGGTAAGGACTAATATACTCCAAAAACAACTTTGAATCATATATCAACCAGACTGATCCTAGACAACTACACTGTATACTGGACTGGACAGTATATTCTATAGGGAGATACTGCAGTATTATCTGAGGTTTTGATATGAATTAAGTAAAATTTATCAGGAGAGATAGCTCAGATTTGACATACCATACATGGGATAGGTAAGTACACTTAAACAAGAGTGATAACACTTAAAACTTTCAATTGGTTATTTTCATATGAAATCTTGAACCTTTTTAAAATCAAATTGTATGTACTGATTATACCAATATGAATGTATATCAATAATTTCTTTAACAAGAAAAATAATTTTTGGTAATAAGACTGCTATTGACAGTCTTTGTACTAAGTTACTATTTTTCTAAAAACCTTCATGAATAACTTCAAAATTAATAGCCATTGAAATGTTTTCCAAGAAAAAAAGTGTGGGATTCAAAAATTTGAAAATCACTTATCATTGCTAAACTCAAAGTAAGAAAAGGGACAGTCTACAACTGGATCAAAAGTGAGCTATTAATTTCATTGTGAAAATCAACAACAACCTAGATGTCAAAAACATTTAGAAGTTCTATAGTTTTACAGTCTCATCCAAAGATTGGGTTGGAACCTGAGGGTAGTGATATAGTTATGGATAATGGTTTTGCTAGTTTTCACCTTTTGAAATAGTATTCTAAATTAATACCTTACTGCCACTGGATAAAGACTGAAATAGTTTTATTCATAAAATCTAAGAGAAATCTTGACAGTTTTATAAATAATGTGTCTACTAGTCAATTTATCTATTCTTTGTCTATACAACTTGATGAATTATAATGTCCTGTTTCAATATACTACCTACATATTCTTCTATTTCGTCACAAGTCAGTTAAAAAATATAACCACATGGTAGAAAATCCAACCACCACTTTTGTTTTGGTAAAATCACTACTTTTGTTTTGGTAAAATTTAGTCTTGGTAAAATCACTACTTTTGTTTTGGTAAAATCACTACCTATGTTTTGGTCAACCACCACCACTTTTGTTTTGATAAAACCATTACTTTTGTTTTGGTAAAATCACTACTTATGTTTTGGTCAACCACCATCACTTTTGTTTTGGTAAAACCACTATTTTTGTTTTGGTAAAATCACTACTTTTGTTTTGGTAAAATCACTACTTTTGTTTTGGTCAACCACCACCACCACTTTTGTTTTGGTAAAACTATTACTTTTATTTTGATCACAAGTGATGCATATATTATTACAAATTATTCAAACTCTTTTATTATCTAATCAATTTTCTAGATTCTTTTATAAAAACAATCATCATTCAGTACTAATTTAATTTGAATGAATTTTTAATGAGCCTTTGATGAAATGTGATATTTAGTCTTATCCAAGATATCATCTATATATATATAAGCATATCAAGCATGATAACATCTAGTTAGGTAGCAATGAAGAAAGGGCTGACCACAAAAAATAACCTAAAAACAAGAACTATAATCTGACAAATAAAACATTCTCTATTTTCTTTTTTTTATTGTCTGAAAATGAGATAAGGAATAAAATCTTTCAAATCAGATTTGGATATTGTTCAACAGTCAGGACTCATGACTCATCTTGAAACACAGCTTTGTTTATGCCTTATGTCAAATAGATTAGATTAAAACAGAATTAGAAATATTAAAACAGAAGCTGAAACATGTTGTTTAACTTTAGATAACTGACCAATTTCAGCCCTGTATCTTTACTAAAATTTGACAAATTGTACTTGTTCTGATGTCTGCAGACAGATATAACATGGAATACTTACTGATATTATTTGATCACCACGTCGTAATTCACCACTGAGATCTGCTGGTCCCCCTGCCAGTATAAATGATACAAATATTCCTTCTCCATCTTCTCCACCAACAATATTAAAACCTAAACCAGTTGATCCTTTCTTTAATGTTATTTTACGTGGTTCTCTATAATATAAAATATATCTTGGATTTTAAGAAAAGCTTCAGATATAAAATACTAGTAAACAGCAATAGATTTGTTCGCTATAATTTGATAAATACAGAAATTTACACATATAATATGTTAATATTTTTATGTGTAATCTATGTTATGTTGTTTGTTGACATTATGTTTTATCATGTACAGTATAAATAATTAAGATATCTGTTTAATTTGGTGTCGTATGCCTATAACATTACATTTTCATTCAAACATATCAGGGAAGAATTCAAAATAATGTTTTGTGAAAAATACACTGAGTTATTCCCCCTGGTTTAGTGAGCAATTTATAAAAATGTATTTGTAGGCTACCCTTGTTTATATTTCTTTTCTACATTTTATGTCAAGTAATGTAAAATTCTTAATTAATTTAACGGCCCTATTGTTATTAGTTTGTATGTATATATCTAGGCCTATTACATATAGTGTTTTATTTGGAAAAACATAAAACTCCATTCATTTCATTTCATTTATTTAAAAAAAGTCAGCATTTCTTTCTACAATCCTTAAGAAGCAACGGTGAGATGGTCGCTTTCAGGATTCCATTCTGGCATAGGTCTAGTTATCACCTTCAGATTTTTCAACCCCGTCAGTGATTCAAGCCTCCTGAAGATATTAGATATTTGAATGAGCCAATTAATCTAGACCTATGTGTGTTTAAGAGAGTTGAAAACCAAAAAAGGTAAAGGCTATTGCCTCTGTCCTATTTCCCTCATTGTACACTACTAGTCATCATAAGCCCTATCAGGTGCACAAAGGTAAGACGAAGAAAGTTGAAATTTCATTTAAGCTTTTTAAATAATCTTTATAATCAATAATATCCAAAAGACTAAACACTACAACATGAAATATTCAATCTGATAGTGCAGGCAATTCACAAGCTCTGATTTTATATCGGATTCATACTTTAATAAAATTGATAGAGTTTTGCTTTCGAGCAATATATAAGACTTTATAAATATTAATTTTAGAGTTTCTCCACTGTGGTATAACTTTCACTAGTAGATGAGATGACTTATATAAAATGAATGTCGAATGTCAACGTCAGTTTCCGTCATTAAATAACAGCTAAATATCTTGAGTCAATTGATTTTTGTGTAGGTTGTTACACTAATACATATTAAATGACACTATTGTTGTGTAACAAATAAGAGTTTTAAATCCACATGATGTTTTGAAAACTTCCTCCAACAAGCTGTTTACGATCTAGTTACGAAGTGAAGATCAGTGTACACGAAGAGGATTTACACTAATCTTACGGAAGATTACCTTGTCAAACCTGACAGCAGTACAGTTGTCAACATAAATGTGTTAATGTACCAATAATCTATTGCTTTGAGGAAGAAAATCTTTCAGAATCATCAGACTAGCTTATTCTAATGGTCAACTACATAAAAACATTGGAAGTCTTACTGCACAGTTTCTGGTTGTAATAATCTGTAGATTATAGTTATCACTGACTGTATTTGTCATCAGAAAAATACGACATTAGACTCAGATTTGTTTTATTGAATACTTTGATGGTAGTTTTTCCTCAATTTACTGAACAAAAACAGAACAGATAATATCTTAAGATATTAGTACTGCTTTCTCTGTATAGAAATTGTTTTTATATACTCAACATAAACCGATGATAACTAACTTCACTGAATGATATATACATATAAATATATTTAATATGCTGTACAATAAGCATAGATTATAAACAATGGTCTTAATGTAGTTACCATTAGATTCTCTGATGAAGATTGGGCTGATGAAGACTATGTAGTGTACAAGGAAGGTAATTTTGTCCTACTCCATTTCTGTTTCCAACTGTGTGTGCCTCTTTAAGAGACATAGACTGTAGTACACAGTGCCTCAGTTTATTTCCTGTTAGTGATATGACTATCAATATTGTATTTTATATCATTAAAGTTAAAGTGGTTTTTGGCATTTACAGCTGAGTCTGTCTGGATTTGAATTTCATTAGTTGATATGCAAAAAAGCACTTGTATTTTGATAAGACAAATGATTCACTGAACTTTAGATTCTTTAATAGCGAAAAAACATTTTTCAACTGAGGCCAGTTTGACTAATTGGGGGGACCAGTTTGACCAATGATTTTGGTTGGAATCAAATAGTAATTTTATAGGCCGTTTTGACTCGGGGCTATTTCAGTTAAGTGCCAAGTTGACAATATCTCCATCCATGTCGCCTAAGAATTAAATTCGGCATTATTGTCACCATTTATATTGAAATATGAGACCAAAAATAGTACATAATAGATAATGTTGATATATAAATCTACATGATAGCTAATCTATAGCCATGAGAAAACCTTTTGTATTTTGATAAGAGAGGAATGAACATGTTATCAGTTTTCTTTATGTTGATTATAAATGTGGAGTGAATTTGGAAATGTGATCTTACCTGGTAACTTTCCTCATTGGAATGGTCATGATTAATCCTTTTTGATATCCTGATCTTCTTAAAAATAATCTTATTTCAGCTCACTTTGATATCACATAATATGATACTGATATTACTAATATCTTTATATTGTATTGACTAGGGTGTGACTTTCACTACAGTTAATTGTTTATAGTTTACTATCAAACTGTGTTTAGAATGTTATAACATTATATTAACCATGTTATTATTATATATCAAATATGACATTTGTACCAATATGTGTAATAGTCACTTCACAAGAGATCAACCTCTTTTAACATACCACTGAAATAAATTGTAATCTATATTGTAATATCTGTATGTGGAAGTCATATGAACTATTAAAGGAAATTGGTATAATATAATATACACACCCACATAACAATAACTACAAATCACAATGATATTCAATATATTATATTATCTTGATTGAAATAAGGAATATGATATTCTAATCAGTAATCAACTGAAACTTGAAGAGATATCTGTTTATATTTCAACATGCTGCATTTGGGCCAAATTAGGCCACATACAAATTATCCAAACTTTAAAAACAATTACAGTATGCACCCGTGACTCTTCAGAAAGTAAGTTATTTGTAAGTTGGTACAAGTTAAAATTTAACTGATTAAGCTTATAGATATATATGTACAGACAGATTTTATCACCATTCTTATTTTGTTTTCCTAAATTGCCAGAATTCAAATTAACAATTACCTTCCCACATATTTCTATGGTATCAAGTGAAATTAGTGCAAAACGGTACTGTATTAACCAAATCTAGTTCATTTGCAGCAAAAATTATGGTCTATGAACTAATTGACATATGTTTCTATTTTAACATTCTTTGATTTATTTTTAGACTGCAGTACTTTCATTTTAATTATATTGAATATCATTTTACACCTTACTTCTTACAGTTAACACAATTACTGCTGGCACGCAGCCAAATCATTTATTTAATCACTTACTATCAAAAACGCACAGTAAGCAAATAAAAATTTCAAATCTATTTTAGAAATATTGAATTCCTTCAGATGTTTTGGAAAATTCTCGTATTAAAATCGTATTAACAGTCAGAAATATCATATGAAAGAAATATATGGTTGAAATTTGAGATATGATTCAAAAGGAAAGACAAAAGCGATAAGAAATTGTAATAAATTTACAATCTCCACAAAGTTTTTTTTAATCCATAATTACCTCTCCTGACTTGTTATATATATATAAAATAACCAATTTGACTTTTAACTTAAGATACAGTCTATGACTAAGAATGAAGATATAAGTAATTTATTTTTCATATTAGACACAATGAAAAATTCTACCTATTTTTCAACTAGTACAGTAAATCAGTGAGTACTGGTAATAATAGCCACTTTGTCAATGTGGCAATAAAATACCTGTCATCCACCCACAAGTAACAAAATCTGCAGAGGCTAGTTTAAAGGCAGCTGATTTTGACAGAATATTATCCAGTCATGTAATTCCTTGTTCAGATAATCCACAGAATCAAACCAAACACATCATATCACTCTACCTAAACTATTCCCACCATTCCTCACACATCACTCCACTTTGTTTGAAAAATAGCAACTGGAAACACAAGCTGTTGGTATTATCATTAATTCATCATTGAAAAGGTCACCCAGTTGGCAGAAGGTCACAACACATCATAATTTCTCATGTATAAAACATGTCTGTGTTAACTATATCCTAAATACCAGAGTAATCTACATACTTTTCATCTTCTGATTGTGGACAGTGCTGACTGATAAAGAAAGAGTTGTAAAAATGTAACCCTGCCACCAGTCTACCTACCAGCTGTATAGCTGGGATAATGAGATATACTATAAATAGTTTGTTTGGTGATGTAATCAAAGGTAAAACCTGTAAATCTATTGAGATTGGTAGAGAAACAATGAGATAGATAGTACAGGGGTTTAACCCATTATATAAATACAATGGTCAGGTTTCTTCAATCCTCTAACCTAATTTGTGTCAAGTGTTAATCAGGTCACTGCATTTAAAAATTACTCTTAAAGCTAGAAATATAGCATTACTTGAAATAACACTGATATCTGATATAAATTATGTACATAACCATATCTGTATGGGTAAGGACAGATGCTCACTAAAGAAATGAGAAATAGTAAAATTACGATTGTACCATAGTTCATTGCCTCATCTCAATTATTTACATTATTGAAAACCTGAAAGTTCCATTAAATATTTCTTGTGAAATAAATTCCGCCATTAAATCTACAAATTAAGACAGACAAAGGACATAAACATTCATAATTCACAAGCATGACAATTTAGTTAAGAAGATCATTTCTACCAGAAGTTCTGTGACTAACCCTTTGTAATGATTATCTGTACCAATTTACAGCTGAGTGGACTGGAATAATGTAAACCCTGATATCTCAATTTTATCCAAAAATATAGACCTCTATCAAATGGCCAACATCATATACGAACTAGTTTTGATAAGGGAATGATCTTAACAGCAGAGAAATCGGATTATTGAACTCA